CTGCTTTTGTAAAGGACCTGGGTTCAATTTCCAACACCCACATGGTGGCTAACAACCATCCATAACTCCAGTTCCAGGGAGTTACTGCAGACAGCACACTCAAACACATAAAATAAAAATAATAAGCTGGGCGTAGTGGCTCACACCTTTGATCTCAGCTCGGGAGGCAGAGGCAGGCAGATCTCTGTGAGTTCAAGGCCAGCTTGGTTTACATAGTGAGTTCCAGGCCAGCTGGGGCTACAGGGAGACCATGTCTCAAAAAGACAAATAAATAAATAAATAAATAAAATAAAAATAATAAAATATTTTTAAAAATTTTACTTAATTGGAAATTGTTTTAATTCTTATATAAAGAAAAAGAAGAGGCTATAGCGCAGTAGTAGAGAAAACAGATATGAAAATCATATTTAGTTCCCATCAAGAATATAAATGTGGGGCTGGAGAGATGGCTCAGTGGTTAAGAGCACTTACTCTTGCAGAGGACCTGGGTTCAGTTCCCAGTATCCACATGGTGCCTAAGAACCGTCTGTAACTCCAGTTCCAGGGGATCCAGTGCCTTCTTCTGACTCCCACAGGCGTTGTACAACATGTGTGCACTTACATACATGCAGTGCACAGCAAAAATTTTTTAAATATTAAAAAAAAATTGGGGGGGTATTTTTGAGACAGGGCCTCCTAGTATCCCCAGCTGGCCAGGAACTCTCTGCATAGACCAGGCTAGCCTCGAACTCACAGAGATCCACCTGCCTCTGCCTCCCGAGTGATGGGATTAAAGGCATACGTACCCATGCCTGGCCAACTTTTTAATATTTAAAGAATATAAACATGCCATCTATATTCATGTCTCTGTGGATACCTTGTGGGTCAGTGCCCTTAGATAGGTTGCTGGCCATCCTAGTCTGTACACACCACTGTGAGTCCACCATGCTTGAGTAGGTTTTGAACGTTTCAGATTCTGAGTTTTGGTTTGGGGAACTCAAATTTATTTACAGAGTAGTGAGAAAACCTGCCAGAAACTTTCTAGCCGTTCAGTCTAATTGCTCTGGGACCACAGGTCCTTTGCTCCAGAATCCTTAAGATTCTCTCTGTGGCAACACCCACCAACATTAGAAGACGTATGTATGTCTTTGCTGTAGTTCTTCTGAACCAGACCCCTAATGCAAGAGCTACAGCTTAACTGGTGGGGGAGAGTACCAGGGTTCTTGATAGCCTGGATGAGGCTGGCCTGGAGGCTCTCCTTCACTCTTCCATGGTCCTGACACCCATATGTTCAGCCATTCAGAAGACCCATGATTTTTAAAAGCCACAGAAGAGAGCAATATGGAGTTAGTTACTGTAAGCATAAATGTGTGAGGTTACACAATTACTGGAGAATTATTATTCCATTTACATTGAAAGATATCTAGAAATCAGATGGAATAACAGTGTAGCAAGGTGTGGGATTTTTTTTCCTGGGGAAACTTGAACAAACATCTGCTCCCTCCAGAGATGGCACTGATGGCAGACCAAAAGAATGGTCCGCAAAAGTCCATCTTGGTAAACCAATGAGTTTGTTGAACTTACAGGAGCATGTGTGACCCCAAACAGCTGCATCACTGAAAGGTTTCACCCTAGGATGGATGATGACTTCCCTATATTTGGAGTCCTCCCTTCAGTTAGCCTTCTACCCTCTGTATACTCAGTACCTCCCCATACCATGTACTGCTGGGACGGAATTATATATAGCTTGAAAGGGGGCTGTAGAGGAAAGTGACTAGAATTTCAGCTAAGAGTCAAAACCCTTCTCACTAATGAAGGAAAATCAGCAGGCCCAGTCTTGAAGGTCTCTTGAAGGGCAGGGTAATCACAGCTGTTCTAATTAGGATGATAATAGCTATTGTGTGTGGATGACAGTGTTTCACAACTTGAGGGTCTCTAGATACTACCTTCACATCTGCAGTGTAACCTGACTGCTCTGTGATGTGGGCCCATGGACACCTGTCATTGCTTCTTTGGGGTGTCCTGTTCTCAGTTACCCAGGTATGTTAGTCTCTGAACCTATTGAGACTTGTGGTCCTCTCTGTGGTCTAGATCACAGCAGGAACCTTCTCTAAGGAGGCCAATGGTAACCATTCCAAAGCATCTTTTCTAGAAGTATCTGGGAAGGTTGCTTTTCCACTTAGTCATTGAGACATAGTTTTATGAGCTGAGTGAGTGTAGTTTATGCTGGTAATCCCAATATTTGGGAAGTAGAAGCAGGCGGCTACATAGCAGATTTGAAAAGCCAGCCCAGGATCTGTGAAACCTTGTCTAAAAAAAAGACAGAATAGACTTTGCTTGGTATTCTTTATGAATATTTTTTAAATCTTTGAGTGTTTGCGTGTGAGTGTGGGTGCATGTGTGGAAGTCAGAGGACAACCCAGGTATCAGTCCTTGCCTTCCACCATGTTTAGGGTCCCTAGTTGTTTTGCCAGTGTCTATATGAGGCTAGGTGGCCCACAAACTTCTTGGAATTCTCCTTTCTCCATCTTCTATCCCATTGTAGGAGAAGTGGGATTACAGTTGTGCACTACCACCCTCAACTTCATATAGGTTCTAGGGATTTGAACTCAGGTCCTCATGCTTGCATAACAAGTACTTTTACCCACTATGCTATATCCCCAGCCTGACTTAACTTTTTTTAAATAAGTGCTGATATTAGATTGACTATATTAAAGATGTTGACTAAGTAGCCAAGCTGTAAGTATACATATTTCATGTAGGTAATTACATTAGTGGGACACTGGAAGATGCAGGTGTCCTTATGTATGTATCCCTTGTCATGTGCCTATGACTCTCAGCATCTTGGAGACCATAGAGGTTGGCACCTTTTCCCACAGAGGGAAATGCAGGTATTTTGGAGTTGAAATGGTTGGAAAAATGTCTCTGCCACTGAGTCATAATTCAGTCCCTCCATTGTGAGAAGATGGTGCCTCCTTTAAATTTTGCCTTATTTTATAAAAAAAAAAACCCAAAAAACACTCAACTGGGTGTGGTGACACATGCCCCAGTACTCAGGAGGCAGAGGCAGGCAAATCTCTTTGAGATCAAGGCCAGCCTGTTTGCATAACAAGGTCCAGGCCGTCTGGGGCTACAGGGAGACCCTGTCTCAAACAACAACAAAAAAAACTTGCTAAGTGTGGTAGTGTATGCCTTTAATCCTAGCACTTGGGATGAGTTTGAAGCCAGCGAAGGCTACATAGTGAAGACCCTGTCTTAAAAAAAAAAAAAAGAAAAATCTGGGCTGGAGAGATGGCTCAGTGGTTAAGAGTACTGGCTGCTCTTGCGGAGGACCTAGATTTGATTCCCAGCACCCACATGACAGGTAACAACCATCTGTGACTCCAGTTCCAGGGGAATCTGACACCTTCTTTTGACCTCTGCAGGCATTGCATGACATGGGTGCACTTAACATACATGCAGGCAATACATTCATACACATAAAATTAAAAAAATAAAAATTTTAAAAAACTTAAAACCAGCTGGGGTTGGGAAGATGGCTCAGCAGGTAAAGTGCTTGCCATATAAGCTTGATAACCTGAATTCCTTCTCTGGGACCCACATAAAGGTAGAAGAAGAGAATAGAGTTCACAGAGTTGTCCTCTGACCTTCATACTTGCATACCCACATACACATACACAAAATAAGTAAATTAATTTGAAATGCAATAAAGTTTAAAAGAACCTCACATTAAAATTTTTTGCCTTCTTATTTATTGTGGGGGTGTATGCGTATACATAAGTGCACCTCTATAGGTGCACATGTATTACAGCATGCATGTAAAGGTCAGAGGATAACTTTCAGACGTTGGCTCTCTCCTTCCACTATGTTGGTTCCGAGAATCAAATGCCAATTGTTGGGTTTGGTGACAAGTGCCTTTTGCACTGAACCATCTAACCAGCTGAAACACGTATTTTTTTTTAAAAAAAGATTTATTATTTTGGGGGCTGGAGAGATGGCTCAGTGGTTAAGAGCACTGACTGCTCTTGCGGAGGATCTGGGTTCGAGTCCCAGCACCCACATGGCAGCTATAAACCGTCCTTAACTCCAGTTCCAGGGGAATCCGAAGCCCTCCCTGACCTCTTCAGCATTGCACAACATGGGTGCACTCACATACATGCAGGCAATACACTCAGTGTTTGTGTGTACCTGAGTGAGTTTATGTGTACCATGTGCATACAGGAGCCTCTGAAGGCCAGAAGAAGGTGTCAGATCCCTTACAACTGGAATTATAGGTGGTTATGAGCCACCATGTGGGTGCTGGGAATAGAACTCAGATCCTCTGGAAGAACAGCAAGGATTCTTAAATTTTGAGCCATGTATCTAGCCCTGAAACCCACATTTTTTTATACAAAATACCTAAGCAAAGAAGAAAATGAAACTGCTGGTGAGTGCAGCACCCGGACACTCCATTGCTCAGTGTTTCACCAGACCAAGATTTAAGGTCTGCTTGATATATAGCCCTTTTCAAGACTGTGTTTTTTGCAATGTTTGATGTCTTGCTTTTTCATTTTCATGGGTCTTTTGTTGTTGTTGTTGTTGTTGTTGTTGTTGTGTGTTGTTTTGTTTTGTAGACAAAGTCTCACTATAGCCTCAGCTGGCCTGAAACTCACTATGTAGACCAGGCTGATCTGGAACTCACAGAGCTTGCCTGCCTCTACTTGCTCCTCTCGAGTGCTGGGACTAAAGGTGTGCACTACCGTGCCTGGCTTGTTTGATTCTTTTGAAAATGAAAGGTTTCATATACATACCAGGTCTGCAGCATTCTGGCAAGCAGTGTTGTCTACCATGCCGATGTGGCGCTTGAGCCTTACCCTCTTAGTTCTTCCTCCTAAATTTCTCAGCTTGTTGAGGGTCACTTACTCCCCTAAGTCTCATGGCAGTTCAGCCCTAGAGGCATCCTTCCCTATGAGTCCCAGTTCCATATCTATGCCTTTACCTTGTACCTCTCTGAACAGCACTGGGTGGCCTGCTGAGGCCAGATCTTCTCTCCACAGATCCTGATGGCCAGCTGTACAGTGTGGAGCCTGCCCATGATGAGGAACCCCCTGCATGTGCTGATGAATTCGATGACTTTGTCACCTATGAGGCAAGTGCTTTCCCAAGTATGAGCTCCACTTCTTCCTCTGTGCTGCAGCTCCTGCTTCCTGAGCTGTTGCAGCTGTTTTCACAGAGGTGGCATGTCAGGAAGGGAGCTCATACTGTGCCCTATGCATGTAGTGGTGGGCTCTGAGGGATCTTGGCTGTGACAGAAACCACAGATTGATTACTCCCACTGGCCAGTTTGGGCACGGTGCGTACATGCCCAGAAGTCATCCATTGAGCCTGTGGGCAGGTAGGCTCTGTGGTGACCTTGCTGTTACCTTCTGCCAGACGGAGACAGAGCAGAAGACTGAAGGTTTCCCTTTGTGAACTTTCAAATGGTTGTTGGTGTTTGGGAACATTGACTAACACCTACCTCCTGCCCTACACCTTCACTTTCTACTTCTGGGTACAGCCAGGGTTGTGCTATGTGTTGTCTCTAACTGTGGATCTCTTGTCACCATAGCTGGGGAGAAAGTCAAGAGCCAGGGAAGATAGACCACTGTAACTGCCCAGCAGACTGAAGAGGGCAGAATTCCAGGGGTTATGTGGCTGATCTAGAGTATTTTCTTTACAAAATACATGGAGCTGTTGTCCTGATAACCCAGGGAGGCTGAGAGACAGGAGGATCTGGCTATGGGCTAGTGAGACCTAAGGTTGCTTATGTCAAGTCCTCAGAACCTTGTGCTTAAAAAACACAAAATACAGTTAACAATGGTGGTACAGGCTTGTAATCCTAGTGCTTGACAGGTGAAAGCAGGAGGATCAGAAGTTCAGGTAATCCTTGGCTATACAGTGAGTTCAAGGCCAGCCGGGCTACATGAGATCCTGTCACAAACAACAAAAACCTAACTTTATTTATTTATTTATTTATTTATTTATTTATTTATTTATTATTTTATATGTATGGGTATATTGCCTGCATGTAGGTAAGTACACCCGTGTCGTGCAATGCCCGCAGTGGACAGAAGAGGCTGTTGGATCCCCTGGAACTAGAGTTATAGACAGTTGTTAGCTGCTGTGTGGGTGCTGGGATTCAAACCCAGGTCTTCTGCAAGAATAACCAGTGTTCTTAACTGCTGAGCCATCTCTCCAGCCCCAAAAACCTAACATCTTTTTCCAAGTGGAGAATCTAGTTGCTACATCCAGATACCATATTTGGAGCCCTTCTACTGGTGGTCTTTAGAGACTAGCCTTTTACTGATTTTCTGAAAATAGTTCTGTTAGATCTATGTTTTCTGACTGGAACTCAATCTGTTTGAGCACTGTGCTGGGAAGAGGTGCATGAGGCATTACTTACTCGTGAACTGTACTCCCTGTTCTGGCAGGTGTTCTGACTCCTGCCACTTTTCCAAGGACCCCTTGGGCTTTTGACTTGTAACAGGAGAAAGTTGCTGATATGTCCCAAGTGAGGCAGGGAAGAGTTGGGGAGCTGGGTTAAGGTTGCTGCTAATGTTTATAGGAATGATCATGAGAAGAAAGCTCATTGTCTAAGAAGCTGAGCAGGTAGAGGAAGGACAGGGCACAGGGGGTGGAGCCCATTTGTCAGGATTTCTGGAAGGGCAGTGGGGAAATCACAAAGAGAACAGGCAGGACCAGATGATAAGGGTGTCCCAGAATTGTCCTGGCTGTGCTTTCTGTGTACCTCCCTCCTCTCCTATTGCTAGAAGCCAGAGAAAAGACCGCTTTAGAAAAATGATGGAAAATGTGTCTTTTGTATAAACTGTTATCTGGAAGGTTAAAGTGTAAGACAAAGCTGCTCTGTTTTGAGCCCTGTCTGTTTGTTAAAGCTAGCAAGGACATTTCCTGAACTTTGCCTGTCCCTCCCTGGCCAACAGCAGCAGATTTAATAGAGCGTGTCTGGGAGCAGGTTAAACTTTCTTTGAGGTGGTGATGTGCCTTCAGATGGACACATGAATTTTGCAAGAACCCCAGCATAGCTAACAAACTGTAAGGCAACATTGTTAGTACAGAGAAGCCAGCGACTGGGTAAGCAGGGGCATGTGATGAGGAGACCATCTCCAGTAACACACCCTTCCCAGAGCCTGTGTGCAGAGACAGACCTGTGAAGGTGCTTGGCATCTGAGGGTAAGAAGAGATGTGAGAGTGCACTGTGCCCAGAATCCCATTTCTATGAAGGAGAAAGATTCAGGGAAATAAAAAACATGGCCTGGACTATGAGAACTGCCAAGCAGTGTTGGTCGTACTCAATGGCCTGAGCAAGGATCTTGTCTGTCCCTTGGTGATGTGATGGATGTGTTAACTAGTGAATGTATCATTAGTACATGGTGAAGTTTTCTAAGATGTACTTTGATTTTTCAAATGAGTTCGTCTTAGCATTGGTAATTGTTAAAAATTTTAGGAGTTGGTGTATAGACCTGTAGGCTTTGGGAAAAGCTAGGTCCTCACAGGTAGATGCAGCCTAATGGGTAAGGCTGTTTGCTGTGCTTGTATTGTATGTGATAGATTGTGTGAGAATCCTGTGCTCTAAGGTGGTTTTTGTGCCTTTTATTTTTTTTAATTTTATTATTTTTATTTTCTGTGAATGAGTGTGTTGCCTGCATGTATGTGAGTGCACCCGTGTCATGCAATGCTGTGGAGGTCAGAAGAGGGCTTCGGATTCCCCTGGAACTGGAGTTAAGGACGGTTCATAGCAGCCATGTGGGTGTTGGGAATCGAACCCAGGTCCTCTGCAGGAGCAGTCAGTACTCTTAACTGCTGAGCCATCTCTCTAGCCCCTGGTTCGTGCCTTTTTTGAAAGGCTCAGGAAAACAAGTTTGCTATCTAGATCACTAATACTTATTGTAGGACTTCCTGCTCAGTAGCAGCTGGCCGAAGACCCCAGTCTCAGGAGCTTGCAGCAGGGGAGCATTTGTGAGCTGAGTGCCTGTCTTCTTAACTTATAGCAGTCCTGGTTTTCTTTTTTTTTGGTCTTTTTGAGATAGGGTCTCCCTGTAGTCCCAGCTGTCCTGGAACTCACTATGTAGACCAGGCTGGCCTTGAACTCACAGAGATCCACCTGCCTCTGCCTCCTGAGTGCTGGGATTGAAGGCGTGCACCACCATGCCCGACTGGGTCTTCTGTTTTTGTGGATGATTTATATCCAATAGATTATGAGTGAGCAACCTAGGGTTTCCCTGTTTGTGCCCCACATCCCACCAGGGGACCCTGAGCATTTTCAGGAGTGCTTGGGAATGGGGCCTCATGGCCCCTTTGTTTAGCATGAAGCAAATAAAGCTATGAGTGCGACCATGTTCCCCTTTCTGTGTGACTTGGAATTCTCTAGTCACTCCATAGTGGTACAGAAAGAACCATTGCTTTAGAAATGAGTTGAGAGTGTGGCTTGCAGACTCCCTTCTGGATATGTGGTATGTGGGGAAGGTGTTCTGCTCAGTGACAGCATTTGCTTCTTCGACCTTTTCTTAATACTTTTGACCTGAGTACCATACCTGTGCTCTAAGGCAGCTTATGATGCCATCATTGACCTTTGTTCCCAAGAACACTAAGCAGCAGGTTAAATGGGAACTCTATGAAATGAGTAGGCTGTGTCTTTGAACCCCCTTCCCTTCCCAGGGGAAGTGCTCAGCAAAGCTATGCAAACTGCACTAAGACACTTATTATTATAAGTGTCTGAGCTATGTTGGAACCCAAGGTTTACATGGCTAGGGAGGAGCAGTTGGGGACCTGGCAGAAGTATTAATGGATTGGCTTAAAAATTATTACCTAATTGGTGGGGGGGTTACATATGCCATGGCACACCTGTGGAAGCAACTTTTTTTCTTTTTCTTGGTCTTTTTGAGACTGGTTTTCCCTGTAGCCCCAGCTGGCCTGGAATTCACTATGTAGACCAAGCTGACCTTGAACTCACAGAGATCTACCTGCCTCTGCCTCCTGAGTGCTGGGATTAAAGGTATGTGCCACCACACCCAGCCAGTTTTTAAAAAACTATATTTTATTATTTTTATTTTATTTTATGTGTATGAGTATATTGCCTGCATGTAGGTAGGTAACACCCATGTCGTGCAGTGCCCCCAGAGGTCAGAAGAAAGCATTGGATCCCATGGAACTGTGGGTGCTGGGAATCAAACCCTGGTCTTCTGCAAGAACAGCCAGTGCTATCAACTGCTGAGCCATCTCTGTAGCCCAGAGAACAACTTTTGAGGGTTATAGCTCTCCTTCCATGATGAGGATCCTGGGGATTGAATTGAGGTCATCAGGCTTGGCAGCAAGCACCTTTACCCTCTGAATCATCTTGCTGGCCCTGGGTTGGTCAAGTTATATTGTGAGCAGGAACTCTCTGAGGTCTTTGGAAGATCCTTCCAGGTTACTGTTGGAGCTTCTTGGTCCTACTTATGAGAATTGGAGTGTGTGGAGTCAACCTGCTCCCTTGCTCTGAGATCCACAGCTTGGTGCTAGGCAGGGTCCCTGAGGGGTCATGCTTGTGGACCAGGAGGGAACACCATTCTTTTAGAAGTTTTTGCTTAGTACTGAAGAGCCATGTCTTCTGGCTTTTGTTTTAAATTTTCTTGGATGTCTACAGGACTTTCTTAGTACTCAGGTGAATGACTGTTGGCCTCCCCTCGTGGACCATCAGTAGTCTGTGGTAGGTCTTGTGTCCTGCTTGATGGTACCATCCCCTGCAGACCCAGCCTCAAACAAATGTGTAGGCTTGCATGCTTTTCTGGCCTCTCTGGATTGACTTATGTAGGATGGGATCCTCATGGCCTGCCTCACTCAGGAGAAAGCTGCTAGGGCCAAAAAGAAAACAAAACTGTTTTGGATTTTCACATGATTGCTTTCTATGAATTACTTAGTCTTCATGAATTCCTTAGATAATAGAGAAGATTGAGTTTCCCTTGGAAATGTGAGTCACATGATCGGACGCCTATAGTCACGTAGTATATGCTATTCCAATTTACTTTTGCTTATAACAGCTGACAGGGATTTTGTACCCTTTGGAGGCAACAAATGCCCTGTAGTCTTATTTCCTTCCATACTCTTGAGAAGTGCCTGCTATATCATCCACTGGAATCTGTAAGGTCAATGCCTTGTGAGGTCAGTATTTATAGCTCCCTTTGTGGTTCAGAGCTCCAGGTTGAGTCATGTGTCTGAGGTCACGTGCTGTTAGTGGTGGGCAAAGATAGAGCTGGCTTTTCCTCAGCCAAGAGGCCCACATCTTCCTGTGAGTCTTGGAGGCTCAGGTGGATGTAGGATGTTCTCACACCCCCTGGAACATCAGACCTCAGGGTTAAAGGGAATATTTTTCCTGCTAGAACTACAATTTTTCTGAAATCCTATTTGCAAATTGTTAACCTCAGAATCTTCTAAGCATTAAATGTCAGAGACTTACCCTAACATGAAATTTCATTGTAATAAAAACTGAAATTAAGCCAGGTGTGGTGGTGCATGCCTGTAATCCAGCACTCGGGAGGCAGAGGCAGGCAGATGTCTGTGAGTTCAAGGCCAGCCTGGTCTACATAGTGAGTTCTAGGACAGCTGGGGCTACAGGGAGACCCTGTCTCAAAAAGCCAAAAACAAAAAAAAAAAACAAAAAAAAAAAAACACCCTAAAATTATGCCTGGCATGGTGGCACATGCTTTTAATCCCAGCACTTGGGAGGCAGAGGCAGGCGGATCTCTGTGAGTGCAAGGCCAGCCTGGTCTACATAGTGAGTTCCAGGCCAGCTGGTGCTACAGGGAGTCCCTGTCTCAAAAAAACCAAAAATTGAAATTTTAAGTAGAAAGCTGCTAGGGCCAAAAAGAAAACAGAACTGGTTTTTGGACCTCTTTAATTAGTTTTATGTTCATTAGTATAAATGTGACTGACTTCCATACGTTGGGCCTAGTGCTAGATGCTAGGTCCATTAGAGGAAAAAGGTATGTTTGGGAAAAGAGACATTGAGTCCATCAGCAGTTGGGTTGATGATTGACTACTGAGCATTTCAAGTTAAACATGACCACATTCCAGAGCAGTGACTTAAACATACTAAATAATAATTCCTTCCTTCCTTCCTTCCTTCCTTCCTTCCTTCCTTCCTTCCTTTCTTTCTTTCGTTCTTTTTGAAGCAGGGTCTCCCTGTAGCCGCCCTGTTCTTGCTTTTTCTTTTCTTTTTGAGGCAGGGTCTCTCTATAGCCCCAACTGGCCTGGAACTCACTATGTAGACCAGGCTGGCCTTGAACTCACAGAGATCTGCCTGCCTCTGCCTCCCCAGTGCTGAGATTAAAGGTGTGTACCACCATGCTGGCCTGGTGATGTCTTAATTTAAATTTTTTATTGAATCTTTATTTATTATTTATTTTGTGTGTGTTTATTTGTAAGGACATGTATGTGTCACAGCATTTGTTTGGAGGTCAAATGACAATTTTTGGGAATCAGTTTTCTTTTACTGTGTGTGTCCTGGGGATTGAACTCAGATCCTCAGGCTTGGCAGCAGGTGCCTTTACCTAATGAGTCATCTTGCCAGCCTGTGATATCTTTATTTGAAAAGCCATAGTCTTATACTGTTGAATGCCAATTCCTTGATTTAAAAATAACTCCCATGCTGGGAGCCACAAAAAAAAAAAGTAGTTCTCCTGGGAATATCTGTGATTCTGGGATACTTTGTATCTTTTAGGCATATTTATTATTATTTAATAGATTTTAAAATTATTCCACTTTGGTTTTTGAGACAAGGTCTTTTCTTTTAATATTTTATTATTTTTATTTTATGTGTATTGAGCGTATTGCTTGCATGTATGTGAGTGCACCCATGTCGTGCAATGCCTCAGAAGTCAGAAGAGGGCTTTGGATTCTTCTGGAAGTGGAGTTAAGCACGGTTCGTAGCTGCTATGTGGGTGCTGGGAATTGAACCCGGGTCCTCTGCAAGAGCCGTGATTGCTCTTAACTGCTGAGCCATCTCTCCAGCCCCAAGAGTCAGGGTCTTTCTATGTGGCTCAGACTGGCCTTGAGCTCATGACCCTCCTGCCCCAGCCTTCTGAGTGCTAGGAGTACAAGTGGGCTTCACCATGCCCAGCTCTACTCCACTTTTTTTCTGGGGGGGTGTCTTTTTGAGACAGGGTCTTCTGTAGCCCCAGCTGTCCTGGAACTCACTATATGGACCAGGCCAGCCTTGAACCACAGAGCTCCATCTGCCTGCCTCTGCCTCTGGAGTGCTGAGATCAAAGGCGTGCGTCACCATGCCCAGCCTTGCTCCACATATTTTTGTTTTGCTCTTTTTCATTTTAAAAATAAGTAGCTGATGCCAGTTGTGGTAGCACACACCCTTAATCCCAGCACCCAGTAGGCAGATGCAGGCAGTTATCTGTGGGATTGAGGACAGCCTGGTCTACATAGTGAGTTCCAGGTGAACTAGGGCTAGGGAGTCCCTGTCAAAAAAAAAAAAAAAAAAAAAAACTGGGTGTGGTGGCATACGCCTTTAATCCCAGCACTTGGGAGGCAGAGGCAGGCAGCTCTTTGTGAGTTCGAGGACAGCTGGGGCTATAGGGAGACCCTGTCTTAAAAAAGACAAAAAATAAAATAAATAGTAAAAAAGGGACTGATGCTAGAGCTTTTAGTCCCGGCACTCAGGAGGCAGAGGCAGGTAGATCTCTGAGCTTGAGGCAGCCTAGTCTACATAGCAAGTTCCAGACCAGCCAGGGCTACATGGTGAGGCCCCCATCTCAAAAAAACAGAAAAATAAAATATAATTTAAAAAGCTCAGTGGTAGAATACATGTAGCATTTGAAAGGCCCTGGATCAGTTCTGCAACACACATATTTCTCTCCTCCCCCAACACACACACACACACACACACACACACACACACACACTCACATCAAGTCCTGTTTTATAAGCTAATGTCACTATTACGGTTGTGGTTGTTACTTTTGCTGGTTCTGTGTTCTCACTGCAACATGGCCTCCATAGCTGCCCAGACTAACTGTTGCTTCCTCACAGGCCAACGAGGTGACAGACAGCGCATACATGGGGTCTGAGAGCACCTATAGTGAGTGTGAGACCTTCACCGATGAGGATACCAGTACCCTGGTGCACCCTGAGCTGCAGCCTGAAGGGGATGCTGACAGTGCTGGTGGCTCTGCTGTGCCCTCAGAGTGCCTGGACACAGTGGAGGAGCCTGACCATGGTGCATTGTTGCTGCTTCCAGGCAGGTGTGTACCCAAGCTGTGTCATATGCGTCCTTATGTCTGTCTGTCTGTGTGTGTGTGTGTGTGTGTGTGTGTGTGTGTGTGTGTGTATCCATTCCTATCCCTGTGGGCTCCCTAGACTGCTGTTAGCAGTGGTGGGAGGGGTCTCTGCCACATGTAGCTTCTCACTGCCTCTGCGCTGGTAGAGCTCTGTCTATGGTTTCCTATCTAGCTGACATCCCCTTAGAAGAATGCTTCTCCTGTTGGAACAACCCTGATTATAATGTCTCACAATATTTGACTGTAGAGACAGAGAAATTATAAGAGATAAACTTTACTCAGTCTCCTGAAATTTGTAAGCACAGTACTTTTTGATTTTTTTTTGGTTTGGTTTGGTTTTTTTTTTCGGTCTTTTTGAGACAGTGTCTCTCTGTAGCCCCAGCTGTCCTGGAACTTACTATGTAGACCAGGCTGGCCTTGAACTCACAGAGATCTGCCTGCCTCTGCATCCCGAGTGCTAGGATTATGTTTTGTTTTGTTTTTTGAGACAGGGTCTCTCTGTAGCCCCAGCTGTCCTGGAACTTGCTGTGTACACCAAGCTGAACTAGATCTCACAGAGATCCACCTGGGACTAAAGGTGTGCACCACCATGCCCGGCCCCATTAGCACAATTTTAAAGCCAGGGCTGGAGGACAAAATATTCATTGCTTGCCTTTGTGGCACCACACCGTGTACAAACCACCTGTTCTTGCTGCCCCAAGGTGTCTTTCTTGTGGTTTTTAAAAAATTTACATTCATTCATTCATTCATTCATTCATTCGTGTATGTGTGTGTGCACGCTTGTGCACATACAGATCATAAAACAACCTTTTTGAGAGTAGGCTCCTTACTTCTGTTACTTGCAGGTTGTCTCTGACCTCCACCTACCCACTGTAGCATGCATATACCCATATATATACATATACACACACACACACACACACACGGACACAAAATAAATAATAAATAAAACTATAATTAGAAACTTAAGGGACTGCAGAGATGGCTCAGTGGTTAAGAGCACTCACTGGCTACTCTTGCAGAGGCCCCAGGTTTAATTCCCAACACCCATATGGCAGCTGACTACCGTTCATAACTCCAGTTCCATGGGAATCAGATACTCTCTTTTGATCTCTGCGGTTATTACATGGGTGCACTTACATACATGCTGGCATTATACTCATACACAAAAAATAAAAATAATAAAGAAAACTTGAAATCTTAAAAATTATAGCATCATACTGTAATAAAGGATTTTTATTTAAAGCTTTTGGGCTGCAGTGTAGTTTGGTGACCGATTTTTTTTTTTGGTCTTTTTGAGACAGGGTCTCCCTGTAGTCCCAGCTGGCCTGAAACTCGCTATGTACACCATTTCCTGGGATTAAAGGCATTTATCACCACGAGTGACCTGGTGACTATTTTTTAATGTGCACAAGTCCTAGATCTACCACCAGCGCTACCAAGAAAAAAAAAGTTGCTTAAGCCAGTCATTGTGGTGCACCCTTTAATTCCAGCACTTGGGAGGCAGAGGCAGGCGGATCTACCTAGTGAGTGCCAGGCCAGCTGGGGGCTACAGGGACACCCTGTCTCAAACAAAAAATAAAATAAAAACTTATGAATGGGGTCTGGAGAAATGGCTTGGTGGTTAAGGGCATTGGCTGCTCTTCCAGAGAACTGGGGTTTGGTTCTGAACACCCATATTGTGGCCAACAACCATCCATCTAGTTCCAGGGGATCCGGTGCCCTCTTCTGGATTCTGTGGGTTTGCACACAAGTTAGTACATTTACATACACGCAGGCAAAACACTTATACACATAAAATAAAAAATAAATAATTTTTTTTGGTCTTTGAGACAGGGTCTTCCTGTAGCCCCAACTGGCTTGGAACTTGATATGTAGACCAGGCTGGTCTTGAACTCACAGAGATCCTCACCTGCCTCTGCCTCCTGAGTGTGGGGATTAAACTGTATGCCACCATGCCTGGTCCAATAAATAAGTTTTTTAAAAAATTAAAGAAAAAAAAAACATATGAGTTGCTGGTGTGGTAGTATACACCTTTAATCTAAGCACCCAGAGGCAGAGTCAGGTGGACCTCTGTCAGTTCAAGGATAGTCTGGTTACATAGAAAATTACAGGCCAGCAGAGCTACATAGTGAAACCATATCACAAAAAACAAAACATAAATTATTTATCTGTGAGATTTTCTACTTTATATTTTTAGACCTTAGTTGACTCAAGAAGGGAATTTGCAGGTAAGAAGGACATGATGCTACATATTTATTGATGTGGCTTACCATGGCTGCTAAGACTGGTCATGTATATGAGTTTCATGAGTGCCAAACTAGAAGTTCCAGCCCTGTTGAGCACTGTGTGACTGGCCAGGGACAAAGTATACAGGCCCTCCTGACCCTGCTGACTGCTTTTGACATGGACTGTCACTTTACTCCAGGACCTCCCTTATCCCAGAGAAGCAGCCTCTTTGAAATGATGCTACTTCATGTGTTAGTAAATAGATTTAAGTAAAATAGTTCTTTAAAATAGATTTAACCTGTTTCTGTGGTTTTTTAAATTATTTATTTATTCATTTTATTTTTAATATTTTATTTATTATTTTTTATTTTACGTGTCCCACAGAGGTCACAAGAGGCTGTCAGATCCCCTGGAACTAGAGTTACGGACAGTTGTTAGCTGCCATATAGGTGCTGGGATTCGAATCTGGGTCTTCTGCAAGAACAACCAGTGTTCTTAACCACTGAACCATCTCTCCAGCCCCTATTTTATTTATTATTTTTATTTTATGTGTATGAGTGTATTTCCTGCATGTATGTGAGTGCACCCTTGTCGTGCAGTGTCACAGAGATCAGAAGAGGGTTTGGATTCCCCTGGAACAGGAGTTAAGGACAGTTCATAGCCACCATGTGGGTGCTGGGAATTGAACCCGAGTCCTCTATAAGAGCAGTCAGTGCTCTTAACTGCTGAGCCATCTCTCCAACCCCTCTGTATTTTTTCAAAGCATGGCTCCTAAGACTTGTGCCTTGTAGCATGGTGCATATTCTATCAGGTAGCTCTGAGTCAGAATTACTTCTCTCTGTCCTTCGTAGATCTCACCCCAGCAACCAGACTGTCGTCATGGTGATTGGCGGCGAGGAGCATTTTGAGGATTACGGTGAGGGCAACGAGGCAGAGCTGTCCCCAGAGACCCTCTGTAATGGGGAACTGGACTGTGGAGACCCTGCTTTTCTCACCCCCAGGTGATGCTCTGCACTATGCATGGTTCCCTCCCTCTCTGTGCTTAGTTATGAGGAAGCTTCTCTGTTGGGATCATACACTGGTAAGAGGAAACTTGCTTTACTTGATGTTGTGTAAACACACTGAGGAGTTTTGTCCTAGGGTAAAGGCTGGCTTCAGACCTCTGAAGTATCTACTTCAGCCCTTAGTTGCCGGTCACCAATCACTTCATGGCCTATGGCTAGCTTTGAGGGAAGCTGTAAAATCATAAAGCCAGGCTTTAGATTCTTGTGTTCTGACATCCCCAAGCTTCCTAGAAAGTTCTGGCTTTGAATAAACTGAACAGTGAAAGTTGGTAGACAAAACACTTGCTTTCTCTTAAGCTGTGCCTGAGGAGATTGCAGTAGAAATCAGTCAATTTGATTTGTATGCACACTAAGCCAGCAGGGACCTGGCTGGCTTTGTCTGAAGACTTGGGTCACTCCTTCTAAGAAGCCAGCCTAAGGAAACCACTGCTTCAGTGGGGCCTAGGCCTGCCTTTAACCTAGTTATCACAAGAACACAGACCTGTGAAGCCAGTGCTAGAAGGCCTATGAGCTGAGCCTGGGCCCCTCTTGCTCATGTCCACCTCAAAACTACCATCAGCTGTTACATGGGCTCTCTGAGTGCTTCCTGGGTCCTTAGCCCTCCTAGGGAGAAGGGACTTTGGGTTCAAAATAGTGGGCTTGTCCCAGATTTGACATTTGCTGTGCCCATGTCAGTCTTGCTGTGGCAGCCTCTCTTGTTTGTGCATTTTGCCCCATCTCCTGTCTGGTGGTTTCAGGCTGAAGTATAACTTCCATGCTACATTTTATGTACTCCTTTCCATCCTTCTTTGAATTGAACTTCAGATTAGTTTTCCACAGCCTGTGAGTCCTGTTGCCCTGGGGATGAGGCTCTCTCTCCAACCTCAGCTTCAGAAAGCAGATGCATCACTGCCCAACAGTGTCCTGAGAACTTGAGGTAGAATCACAGCAAGTCAGCATTCTTTTTTTTTTTTTTTTTTTTTTTTTGAGACAGGGTCTCCCTGTAGCCCCAGCTGGCCTAGAACTCACTATGATGTAGACCAAGCTGGCCTTGAACTCTCTGAGATCAGTCTGCCTCTGCCTCCTGAGTGCTGGGATTAAAGGTGTACACCACCACACCTGGCTGCAAGTCTGCTTTTAAGAAGCTACATAGAATTCTGAGTTTTTAACACAGATCTCAAGCCAGACTTTGTCTCCAAAAACAGCAAATAAACTCCTACTAGAGCCAGACAGCAAATAAACTCCTACTAGAGCTTGACCATACTTTCCTGTCACATTTACATGATTTCTACAGAGGACAAAGCCATGCGTGCATTAGTTAAAGAGAGCCTTCTGTGGCAGCTCTTACTTTCTGGTTCTGAGTACTGCCTAGCAGAGGGAATATGTGACCGCTCTGGCTGCTCAAGCTGGTGGATGTCCTGGCCTCCTTAGGGTGATGTTAAGAAGGGCCCGTGACAGTCCAGAGGGTACAGCCAGATCCTTGGACAGCTCACTCTCTTCCTCTGCTTTGTTCAGCATTTTTCCCATTTTCCTCACCTTCATGTCTTAGAAAGCTAACCTGATAGACCCACCCATCTCCTGACTGACCCCCTGTCTCTCTAGCTCTGATCCTCTTGCCACAAAACTGCGCAGCATCCTCACTGATGAGGCCTTTGAGTTTTACTGTAGCCAGTGCCACAAACAAATCAACCGCCTTGAAGATCTTTCTGCCCGCCTGACTGATCTTGAGATGAATAGGTAACATGTAGAGCCTGGCCTTGTTCTGTGTTCACAGGGTGAGGGAGACTCCTGCTGCAGTGGCCCCCTTACTGGATGTGGCCCGAGGTGCTCCTGCCCTGGTCACCCAGGCGAGCATGGCACCCAGCAGTGGGACTCTTCCTGTAGCCCTACCCTTCCCTGCATGCCCTGAACTGGCTTGCTGCTCATGTCCCTTCTCTTTTTTGCATGTGACAGCCTTGTTGCCTGCTGTCCCCCTGGAAGGAAATAGTCTAGTGTGTGAAAGAGGATATTTCAGCATTTTACTAAAAGATTTCTTCATAGTAGGCAGAGCTGGGGAATTTAAACATGAGTTTTCAAAAACAGATTTGTAATCAGTTTTCTGAAATACTAGTTTATCCAGGATTGTATATCCTCAGTTCTATAAGGTAGTCCTGTACTCAGCTGCAGAGGGGCCTGGTATTGCTGCCATGCTCTTACACGTTCTGCCTGCTGTTTCCCTGACTGGTCCTTTCTGTTTCTCTCTCATCCAGGCATTACTCATTTCAACCCTTTGCTCCCTGTGTCTCTGTGACCAGTCATAGCTCTACTAGTGTTCCAGGAAGCTCCCTTTGTTGACTCCTTACAACTTCACAAACTCATAGGAAACATCTTTGGGTTCTTTGTTCATATCAACATGTCCCAAAAACTGATTGGGTTAAATCCCTAGAGGGATAAGTCCCTGGCTAGGAGACTTTGAGGAAGGTCTGGAGAAGAGATGGACCACATGTGGGGCATGCCACAGCATCCCCCATTGAGCAGAGGAGATAAGCGACCACACAGGCTCCAGATGGGGAGAAGTGCTGTGGCCTCAGGTTGGCAATCTCCAGGTGCTTCCTGGAGGAGTACCTTGTTTGCCTGCCCTTGTAGAGTTTGTTTGTTTTTTGTTTTTTTGAGGGGGGCAGGGGTTGAGACAGGATCTCCCTGTAGCCCCAGCTGGTCTGGAACTCACTATGTAGACCTAGCTGGGCTTGAACTCACAGAGATCCACCTGCCTCTGCCTCCTGAGTGCTGGAACTAAAGACATGCACCACCATGCCTACCCCTTGTAGAGCTTTAACCAGGCTGGATCTACACCTGCTGTCCCAGTCCAGCTCCAGTACTGGTGCACCTGACATGTTAGCTCTTTTTCCAATGTTCTGTGCAGCTAAAGGCCTTCAGCTAACACCCAATGAAGTAGAGAGGATCTTTGCCAGTTGGAAACACCGGGGGGGGGGGGGCATGATCCTAACAATGCTAGAAGTCAGAAATGCTCTTTGAGGGCATGTTTCTTTAAAAAAATCCAAGCCCGGCATGATGACAAGCCTTTAATCCCAGCACTCCCGAGGCAGAGGCGGCGGATTTCTGTAAGATCTAGACCAGCCTGGTCTGCATAGTGAGTTCCAGGCCAGCTGGAGACCCTGTCTCAAAAAGACCCACTCCCTAAAAAAATCTGGTCTCTGGTGATTTCAGAGATCTTGCTGGCCTTCATTGGGGGAATGGGGGTGCAGGTTTTCCCCTATCATATGTTTAGTGCTGGGGAAAGTGGTCCAGCTGTATTCTTCCTGCTGGTGAACTACCCTCCTGCTGATGAGCAGGTTAGAGTACAGGTATGTTGTAAAAGGACACATATATCTTGTCTCTCAGTCTCTGAAGATTTGATACAGAATTGATATCTTCCCACACTAGGAACCTGTGCCTAAGATGGTGGAGATCATACCTGCTAGGCTTGTGTGACAGAGATCAGACTAGGATGTGGTTCAGCTGACTAGCAAGTCCATTGGGGCCTCTCACAGTGAAAGGCTCTGTCCACGTGTATGGAGAGACTGTTAACAGGTCATAGTTGTCAGGTCCTCCCAGTACTGGGAAGGAAAGCTGAATTGTGCCTTTTGGCCTTTGTGGATTGCCTCAGGATAAGCTGCGTAATCAAAAAGGGTTTAGTCCAGACCATCCTCAGAAGTATGTATCACATGTGGTATCTGCCTGGTGGGCCACAGGGAACTCCCACAACTGTTGTGTTCTTCAGGTACCTAGAAATCTCTACAAAAACAATCCATTTTAGGGCTGGAGAGATGACTCAGCTGTTAAGAGCATTGGCTGCTCTTGCAGAGGATCTGGATTTGATTCCTGGCACCCACATGCAGCTAACAATTGTCCATAACTCCAGTTCCAGGGGAATCTGACACCCTCTTCTGACCTCCGCTGGCACTGTATGACACCAGTGTACTTACATACATGCAGGCAATATACTCATACACACTAAAATAAAAAATAGTGAAATATTCTTAAAAATCCATTTTATAGGAACTGAGCAGTCTGCTTTACCCAGAGGCGTATTTCAAGTAATAAACTGTTACAGGACTGCTGGTCCAGAGGCCAGTAGGTAAAGTGAGCAGTCTGTTCTTATTATTCAAGGAGTTTCCATGATCTGATAAAATCAGATTTGTACTAAAATATATGATGCTAGTCAGGGTCTGGTCCAGAGAGGGAGCCACACAGGAGCCACACAGGGACCCAGCTGTGAGGGTTGGAGCACAAGGTGCCTACCAACACTGTGACAAGAATTCTGAGGAGTCAGGATTGACAGCCACCACTGTCAAAAGGTCCAAGCCCCACTACCCACCCGAGAAAGGGTCCATGCTCCTCAGCAGCCAATACACTGTGGAAACGGTGTCAGAAACATCATGTACTATCAGCACTTGCTGGTGATCTACCTTTAGAACTTGCTGGAAGCTGGGTGTTGTGGCGCATGCCTATAGTCCTAGCATTTGGGAGGCAGAGGCAGGTAGATCTCTGTGAGTTCAAGGCCAGCCTGGTCTACATAGTGAGTTCCAGGTCACCTGGGGCTACAGGGAAACCCTGTTTCCAAAAAGACCGAAAAAAAAAAAAAAAGAACTTGCTGGAAAGTCACCTTCTAGTGACTTTCTGGGAACACTGTTTGTTGGGAGGAGTCTTGGCAGAGGCATTCTACCACACACTCTGCCAGAGAAAACTCCAGGAGAAGCTGCTGATTTCTGGTGCCACTGAATGATGGGCACCAGAGGAGCTTACCCAGGAGGCTCTATGGGTGGAAAGGCTTCCTGCATCATTTCTCCAACCGCCATCTACCTACAGAATGTAGTGTCACACACACAAAAAATTTGTTCCAGCCTGTCCATGTACTCCCAGAGCCACCTTGAAGGATGAATTTGAGCCAAGCTAAGGTGGTTAAGGGATGACTGGTGCTTCTCTCTAGGTGGATTGCCTGCCTGATCCTTGAAAAAGGATGAGGCGTCAGGAAAAGCTGCTGCACGCTAAGGCAGGTGGTTCTTGGGCCTGAACACAGTTGTGTCTTCCTTGGGCCCAGAATTCAAAAGGGAGGTCATGCTCTGGTGGGCTTTAGAAGAGGCACATTTGGCCCCCTTGTGCTGCTGCAAATGAACCATGTTTATTGCCCTGGGATGGCTCCTGGAAGGGTTTCTGAATCCCTGCCCTATAGGTTCAGGACCCAAGTCAAAACCATAACAGCCTCTTCTGTCATAGGAGGGCCTATGACATCTTTTACTGGAGGCCTCTGATAGCCAGTAGGCTGGGGTAATTAATGGCTTCAGAAGCATTGGGATGTGACAGTGGCCAAAAATATGGACTGTGTGCAGTCAGCTAGTGCGTTTAGACATTAGGCTAGGCCCTGCACTGTAGTCTGGTTGGCTTCTTCCGAGGGCTTAAGGATGGAATGATAAGACTTGATACAGACCTTGACAAACCGTGCTGTGTGTGTGTGTGTCCTCTGCCTTGCTGAGTGGGCATTCTGTGCATGTGGCTGGCCTGGGGCAGGGGGCTGCATGCCTATGCCCTGCTATCTCCCCAGCCCAAGCTTCCTATTTCCTCCTGTCCTTTGGTCTGCTCCCTGACACAATTTTCCTGTTTGTTTGGTTTTTGCACAGCCCAGCCAAGCGGCTCTCCAGCAGGAAGGTGGCAAGGTAGGCAGAACCTTGATCACTTGCTGAAAATGTTCTGAAATATACTATAGTCATAGTTGCTAAAAAAAAAAATTTAGAAAATATTCTTTTCAAGTTTTCTTTCAAAAGTTGTATTTCATGGTTTGGGATGGAAAGTAATTAAGGGGAGATGTTGTGGAAGGGATTTCTAGGGCTGTGGGCTTAGACCTGGACTTGGGGCCAGAAAGTATCTGATGGAAGCTTCTGGTACTCTTTCTGTTCTTACATGATCCCTGAGAGGGCCAGAAGCAGCCATAGCCCCCAGGATCTGCTGTAGGGCCCCCAGAGAGGAGTCAGCCTCTTAGAGCTCAATGTGGGTGGCCTCCTGCCCTTGCCAGCCAGGTGGTTCACATGGAGAGGAGAATAAAGAGGATGGAGAAGGGATCTTGCTAGAGTCTTAAAGGTCAGCTCTGGGTTTGGGGTTTTTGGGTGATGTCCACTTCCTGTTGTGAAAGGTGAGGTGTGCTCCTACCTACCAGGTCTGGGACAGTGTTCACTGAAGTCAGTATTCAGGGACTATAAGATGCTGACACCCACCCTAAAGCTAAGTTCAGGTAGTGTTATATTTCCTCCCTAAGACAAGCTGTTGCTACTGCCAGAGTCAAATGATTGTCTTCATGTGACTCGCTTGTCTTCTGAATTGCTATCTTCCTTCCACTACCCAGCCCCCTATTAATAATGTTCACAAGATTCCCCGTGGGGGAGCATTTATCTCCCCTTTTGCACAGGACATCTGGCTTCACGGCTGTGATCCTGGTGTGTCTTCCCACATCTGTTAATTTCCATTTATTTATTTTAGGGATTGGATCATCCAGCTCTCTCCTGGCCTTTGTTCTCATTTCTTACTTCTGTCCTTCATATCTTCCCTTGATTTCTTAAGAAAGGAGGAGGCCAGAGGGTAAAACTTAAGACCTTGGGAATGATTTCGCATGTGTGTTTTGATTGGTCTGGGTTAGGGCTGTAAGTAGTTTTCCTTAGACTATCTGAAGGGATTGAGTGCAGCCTTTGGTACTGATTGCTACTAAGCTTTAACACATTCTGATTTTTTTGTTTCTTTATGACTTTTTCTCTCTGAAACCTTTTAAGATAGATGTTTTCTCTGCTCCTAATTTTAGCTAGATCCGATGGTACAGATCTGTAATTCTAGCTACTTGGGAGGCTGAGGCAGGAGGATCACAAGTTCGAGGCTAGTCTGGGCAATTTATGCTTTATCTCAAAATAAAAAATTTTGAGGCCAGATGTGGTGCCACATGCCTTTAATCTTAGTACTTAGGAGGCAAAGGCAGGCAGAGGATTGAAGATCTCTGTGAGTTTGAGGCTAGCCTATGCTGTATAGAAAGTTTTAGGGCTGCATAGTGAGACCCTCTCCCAAAACAAACAAACAACAAGAAGCACTTATATATGAAAGTAATAAGGCTGTAGCTCAATGGTAGAGTGCTTGCCTAGCATATATGAGCTATAGGTCAGTTCCCAGAACTGAAAAAGAAAAAGAGAAGAAAAAAAGGAAATTATCATAAATTTCATGAGTCTTGTTGCAAGCCCTGTTTTCATTAATTATGACAAGCAAAGTGAAAGTGAACCTTTTCACCTGGAAGCTAGCATCCTTGGTTCTGGAATTGTCTTGCTGTGTCTTTATGCCTCCTAATGATGGAGCTCCTTGTGGCCTCCTTACAGCTTGGAGTCTGGAGAAAATAGGCAGTATCTATATTTCACTTTCTCTGATTGTTTTCTCCCTTACCTCTTGGATAAGAGTACTGCACTCTTAGTAATAAGATGTGAATCCAACTGTACTTTATTACAGTTCAGCAAGGTACAGTTTGGCTACCCTGCTCACTGTATCCTGGTGTTTCACACTAAACAGACAATGGCTGGAGGAACTGGTTAAAAAACCAAGCTCCACCATCTCACAGCCTCCCATGCTGGGATCTGATAGACTCTGGGGCTAGCTCTCAGGCCTTGTGTCTAAAGACTTTATCCAAAGTGAGCAGAGGATGAATTTTATAGGCCAAGAAGGCTGGGCAGTGAAGGGCTTGATCATTTGAACTATCTTAAGAGAATTTCCTTTTCTTTGTCACATGTGTTTGTGTAAGAAAGCACAGCTTGCATGTTTACAGTTAATTTATGGAACAGAAGCACATTCTGCAGTGCAGAATGCAAAGGCATATGAACATATATGGAGAGTTTAATCTGCAAGTGTGCCCTTAATTCTGTCCCAGAATTCTCAGAAAACAGAATTGCTCTCCCATTTTTCACTTTGCAGAAATGTCTTTCCATTTGCATTGTGAGAAATGGGTGTTTTGCAGTAGCTAGCTGTGACTCTGTGACTTGTTTCCCCATGTCTGTTCCCTCTCTGTCCCTGTCTGTGGAAGTGGAAGTGGCCCTCTCCCTGAGGCACCTGACACAGAGTTAGCCTAGTGGGACCCAGAGCAGGGACATTACCTCTACTCCCCTAGGGAAAAAGGGGGTCTGGGAGCCCCAGTACCTCACGATCCTCTTACCGGTCATAGTTCCTTCTCCTGGGGTTTCTTGAGTAGAGTAGATGAATGAAGAACTGCCCTTCTTGTTGGAATTAAATAAGCTGCACTCCCCATGCAGACAACCTCAGCCTCAATAGGAGGCCACATGCTGGATGTGTGTCCTTTCAGGCTTTGACCTCAGCGTCTTGGGTCTGAAGTAGGCAGTTCCCTGCCCTGGGAGTGGCATTAAATTGAAGTCAAGGTCCTGTTTAAGAGCAGTGACTGGCCAAGAGCACAATGTTGGTCAGCACCCTTTTGAGACTCTGAGGAAACCCCAAAGCAGGCCCTAGAAATAAATGGCACCCCCAGTGTGCATGCATTGGTTTTCGGTCTCAGGGCAAAGGTTCCTGCTTCCCGCCCCCCCCCAAAAAAAAACATTTATGGAAAAAAAGGAAATGTACAGGTTCAGTCAGTGCTAAAAAGGAAACAGCTTCATTCACTGATAAGATGAGGTATCCATTTTCAGTGGTTATTATCCCTAGCATTCAGCTAAATTCTCACTCTGCAAAGCTGTTTATAAACATACCCTTGTCTAAACTTCATTGAAACCTCATACTTGCCTGAAATAGTTCCTCATTTTAAAGAAGGCTCAGTGAAGATGAATGCTTTCTCAAGGTCACAGATCTGAGCATCAGGCCATCAAGTTTAGAGCCTGGCCCAGAGTATAAAAAGAACCCAACACACAAGTTTGCTGCTGTTATGTTGGTACAAGTGCTCTGAAGATTTTCTTGCACTGCTACTAAATTAGAGTTGATATAGACTTACAACTAAGCAGGTTAGTCTGAATCACAAGCAAGTGTTCATTAGCTGGACACCTGCCCAAGCATCTGCAGCTGAGGAGTGACCCCTGCCCAGAGTATGGTTCTTGGGATTACGTGGAGACTATAGGGTTGGTGTCTGTCTGAGCCCCAGCTGGTCAGCATCTTGTCTGTTGGCACTGATGCTGCAGAGGACTGTGCATCTAGGTTCTTCCTAAGCTTGTCTGGAACATGCTCCACATGTGACCTGAGGAATGACCTGAATGGGATTTCTGGGATCCACAGCATCCCTTAGGACCCTTATCTGTCACTGCCACAGAAACCAAGTGTCAAGAATGTATGTAGAGCTGGGTACAGTGATCCATAGCAGTGAGGAAGCTGAAGTAGGAGGACTACAGGTTCTAAGACAGCCTGGGCTACATAGTAGCAAGATCTTACCTCAAAAGAAACACACGTGTATGTGTACTATACTTATACTGAGTCAAGATCCTGAATTAATGTTTGATGGGCCTCTGGTGGATTCGAGATTATTTCATATCATTGTGAGGAATGTTGTATTTTATTACACCCTGGTACAAAGTACCCTGTTATCCCCTCAACTGGCAGGGAAGGAGGTTGCATTGTCAGGTTCCAAAGAGCACCAGAAGGACTCAGACCACAACTTGCTTGTTCCAAGCCCCTTGGTAAAGGCAACTGACCCAAGAAAGCTCCTTGCTTGGTGCTTTGATTAGGAGGCATTACCCCCAGAAATAGGGAGGGCCTGCACTTCATGATGTTGGTATCTGCCTTTCAGAGACACTTGGAAGTGCTGCTGTTTGAGGAGCTTATCATTTATTTTTTCCCATTCTTCCCTCTGCTATTGATTCTTTTCCATAGGTATCTGCACCAGTCGGGAGCCCTGACCATGGAGGCCCTGGAGGACTCTCCCCCAGAGCCTGTGGAGGGCCCAGAGGAGGACATTGCTGACAAGGTAGGCACGAGGTGCTAAAGGCTGAGGGCTGAGAAGAGATGATGGGCAGTATGGCCAGAATGCTACCAGAGCTGAGGGCCTGTCCCAGGTATCCTCTGTGAGGTCCTGGGTAGTGATTGATACCTGGCCTCTTCTTGGGAGTCTAGGAACATTGTTGAGAAAGCTCAGTGAAAGTGGCAGTGGTGTTATCTGGCTAACTAGAATCTCTATCCAGTCCTTGCAGGAGTCAGTATTTCCCCAGAAAGTTCCCTCAAGGGACCAAAGGGTCATTGGATTAAAAAGCTGCATTTCAGCAGGGTGTGGTGTCACACACCTTTATTCCAACACTTGTGAGGCAGAAGCAGGTGGATCTCTGTGAAGTTAAGGCTACCCTGATCTACATAGTGAGTTCCAGGCCAGCTGGGTCTATAGTGAGACTCTTGGTTTTTTGAGACAGGGTTTCCCTGTAGCCCCAGCTGGTCTGGAACTTACTATGTAGACCAGGCTGGCCTTGAACTCCCAGAGATCCACCTGCCTCTGCCTCCCAAGTGCTGGGATTAAAGGCATGCTACCATGCCCAGCTCTTTTTCTTTTTTTGGTCTTTTTGAGACAGGGCCTTCCTGCAGCCCCAGCTGGCCTGGAACTCATAGAGATCCGCCTGCCTCTGCCTTCCAAGTGCTGGGATTAAAGGCGTGCACCACCATGCCCAGCCAGTGAGACTCTTGTCTCAAAAAAACAAAGCAAGGGGATGGAGAATTGGTTTGGTGGTTAAGAGCACTGGTTGCTCTTGCAGAGGACTCAAGTTGGAATCCTAGTACTATATGGTGGCTAACAACCATCTATAACTCCAGTTCCAGAGGAAACCAATGCCCTCTTCTGACCTCCGTGGGCATTGCACAACATAGGTACACTTACATAATACAGGCAATACACTCATACACATAAAAATGACACATAAATGCCCGATACAAGTGCACCCATATCATGCCATGCCCGCAGAAGTCAGAAGAGGCTGTCAGATCCCCTGGGACTGGAGTTTCGGACAGTAGTTAGCTGCCATGTGGATGCTGGGATTCGAACCCAGGTCTTCTGCAAGAACAACCAGTGTTCTTAACTGCTGAGCCATCTCTCCAGCCCCAAATATATGTGTATATATATATATTTTTTTTTTAATTTTGCGTGTATACATATATTGCCTGCATATAGGTAAGTGCACCTGTGTTGTGCAGTGCCCTTGGAGGTCAGAAGAGGCTGTCAGATCCTCTGGGACTGGAGTTACAGACAGTTGTTAGCTGCCATGTGGGTGCTGAGATTCGAACCCAGGTCTTCTGCAAGAACAACCAGTTGTTCTTAACTGCTGAGCCCCCCCAAATGTGTTTTTTAAAAGCTGTATTTTGTAGCATGTGGGCAGAGCCAGCCACAAAGAATGGAACCAAGCAGGAGTAGCCATTGGTTTTTGTTTTGCTTTCTATTTATGTATGTATGTATGTATGTATGTATGTATTTATCATTGTATGTATATGGGCACGCTTGTGCCACAGACGTGTGAAGGTCAAAGGACAACTTACAGGAGTCAGTTCTCTCAGTCCACTGTATGGCACCCAGGGATGGAACTCAGATTGTGAGGCTGCCCCGGCCTGCGGGGTCTGCAGCGGGGTACCTGGATTGGGGAGTGGGGATGTGGATGAGGCAAGGGGCAAAAGAAATGGAGACAAGACAGTGCTCTGATCAAGTCTCGTTTATTGAAGCACAAGCATACAGTTAAATAAGGAATAAGAACAAAGAAGTACAGACTGGACTGAATCATATCAGCCAGATAGCAAAGACCCAGGTGCACTCCAAGGGAGGAATCCACTGAGAGCAAGGCAGTTACTGGAAAAGAAAACAAGACCGCAGGCGAAGGCCGCGGGCTCCATCCCGTGCCTGCGAGAGTCTACTGATCAACAGAAAACAGGGCTATTTACAATAACTAGAGCAAGGCCGCGGGCTACCAGCCCCGGCTATGAGCCAAGGTTGTGGGCTCTGCTTGCCTGCCAAAGTTTTCGGGCCAAGGCTGCGGGCAGAGTGGAAAATAGCCAGCTGAGGCCTGTCAGCAGTTGTGAAGAAGTGGCTAAGACTCAGTCTCCCAATATGCTGAGACAGCTCCCAACATGAGGCTTGGTGGCAAGTGCCTTTATATACTGAGTCATCTTGCTGGCTCACCATTGGTTATTGGGATGGATTACAGCACAATCCAGGTTCCTACTTTAAGTCAGTTCAGAGGGGTACCATCAGGGGTTGGCAAAGACAACTCAAGAAGGCCCGGGGAGATAGGAGGGTGAGAGCAGAGATTGCTCAGCCATGGGTATATTGCAGCAGCCTGGCCAGGTACCTCGCTGTGGTCCCTTTGTCAAGGGTCAACTTGAGTCTAGGGAGGATGGCAGTAACCCCCCTGCCCCTGTGGCTTCACCTTACCTCATCTCACCTCTCTCTGCAGCCCATCTTGCAACCTCTGTACCCCACCTCATCACCCTGTTCACCTGCCTTACCTCACACTGTATCTCATCCTGTTTCCACTTAGATCTCCCTGCAACCACCTTGCCTCTTCTGTATTCCACCTTTCATCCCCCTGTACCTTGGCACCCTGCCCAGCTTCCCCCTTACAAACCTAACTTGCCTCCTCCTGTACTTGCTAAGCCTCTTCTCCATCCTACCTCATCTCTTGCTTCGTCCTACTTCACCTCTGCTACATTCCCTTCCCCACAGCATCCTCAGGGTCTCACGCTGCATCATCCTGAGGCTGAATCCTTCCCCTGCTCGTCTTTCTTCCTCTTACCTGTGTATTCCCTGAGGGTGGCAAAGACTGACACATGGCCTTTCTATCCCTCCTGTCCCCAGGCATCTAGGCCTCCTCCATGTGTTGTGTCTGGCAACACAGGGTCCCACATATTGAAGGGGGGAGATTGTACTCTTGTACCCTCTAGAGCTTGACGCTCCCAATGACATCTGCCTTTGGGCTGTTGAGGTGACAGTGACCCTGTGGGAGCTTCACTGCAGTGTGCTTATGAGATAATCTCTAAGGATGAGTTGGGTCCAATTCCCACTCAGCAAGTGGGTATAAAAGTCCTCATGCTGCCTCCTTCTGTGTGTTCCTCAAACCATGCTCTCATTACCTAGGTTGTCTTTCTGGAGAGGCGGGTGTCAGAGCTGGAGAAGGACAGTGCAGCTGCTGGGGAGCAGCACAGCCGGTTAAGACAGGAGAATCTCCAGCTGGTGCACAGGTGAGCATGTCCTATGTCCTGAAGTCTCTCATAGCTAATACACCATCACTCTCACCCTATGAATTCTCTCTGTCTCACCGTGGAGGGTCCTGCACCTAGTGATACCTGGTTACCACCTCTCTATTCACGTACTAGATGGACTCTGGGCATGGCTAGAGAACTATGACAGTTTGATTTGAGGCTCTGACTTAAGTACTATCCTTTGGCAGATATCTGGAGCCTAGACACACACAATAGGGCCCCAGAGGAGTAAAGGACAGTACCACTCATTTGTACCCAAGCAAGAAAGTTCTACCCTTCAGGAGAAGTTGGGGAGGTGCTGATTAAACCTATAAGCAGGGCTGGACATAATGATACATACCCACAGTCCTAGCACTTGTGAGATAGAGGTAGGAGGATCGTGAGTTCAAGGTAATCCTTAGCTATTTCGGAAGCTCAAGACCAGACTAAGCTATATGAAATGGAGCTGGGAAGATAGCTCAGTTTGTAAACTGCTTGCCTTGCAAACACGAGGACTTGAGTTCTAGCCCCAGAACCCGCATAAAAATGCTGGACATGGGGTTGGAGAGATGGCTGAGTGTTAAGAACACTGGCCGTTCTTGCAGAAGACCTGGGTTCGAATCCCAGCACCTGCATGGCAGCTAACAACTGTCTGTAACGCCAGTTCCAGGGGATCCTATAGCCCCTTCTGTCCTCCATGGGCATAGCACGACACGGGTGCACTTATCTACATGCAGGCAATATACACATACACATAAAAATAATAAGTAAGGCCAGGGGTGGTGGCACATGCCTTTAATCCCAGCACTTGGGAGGCCGAGGCAGGCGGATCTCTGTGAATTCAAGGCCAGCATGGTCTACATAGTGAGTTCCAGGACATCTGGGGCTACAGGGAGACCCTGTCTCAAAAAGGCCAAAAAAAAATTAATTAATAATAATAATAATAAATGAGATTTTTTTTAAAATGCTGGACATAAGGATGCATGTTTGTAATCCCAACACTGGGGAGGTAGAGACAGGAGGATCCCTAGGACTTGCTGGCTAGCTAGTCTAGCTTAATAGGTGATGTAGACATCATTCCTGAGGAAGGTACCTGAGTTTGTCCTCTGGCCTCCACACACACACATACACACATGCACCTGCACATAAACAGGCATGTGCGCACACGCACACACACACACGCACACACATTTTAAAAAATTTGAAACAGCTGGGTATGGTGGTCCATGCCTTTAGTCCTAGCACTTGGGAGGCAGAGGCAGGTGAATCTCTGTGAGTTCCAGGCCAGTCTGGTCTACATAGCAATTTCTAGGCCAACCAGGGCTACATAGTGACACCTTGTCTCAAACAGTACATTCACGTTGAGAGAGTGGATCAGTGGTACAGCAGGTATTTCATAAGGTTCTGGCTTTAAAACAAATCCACAAGGTAGGTAGATATCATTACACCCAAACTCTGTAGGTCAGTTTTATGGAGCACTTGGTATTCTTATGGAGCTGACCCAGGGTCCGCCTGTGCCTATTAATAGCATTGGGACCTCTGGTGATTCCATTTCTGAGAACCTGCCCTGGAGAAACATTCTGGCCATGATACTGGTCTTAGATTAAGGATCTTGCTCCCTATCCATTCACCATTCACTAACTCTGTGAGGCAGACAGTATCTTCACCTTACAAATGAGGAAACTGAGTCAAGGAAGCTTACATAGTTGCATAAGACCTCAGATGATAGCAGGTAGGAACTTCAGAGCTGATGGTAGAGCCCTGTTTGGGAGCAGTAGATAACTGTGCAGGAGCACAGCTCATCCTGAGGACCTCAGACTGCAGATGACTAGCAGAAAAGCAAACTGAATGGAAAGACAGGTTGCATGGTCTAATCACATGGGCAAGGAGGACTGAGGCACAGCTACTGTTTGCACAGAGCAAAAGAAAAGAAGGAAGGCGGTAAGTTTGAGGCCAGCCTAGGCTATGCAGAGACCCTGTTTCAGAAAACAAGAGGGAAGGAAGAAAAAAGAAGCCAGATGTAGTGTTCCTTTAATCCTAGCACCTAGGAGGTGGAGGCAAGTGGAATCAGAAGCCTGAAGGAGATGTTATGAATATGGCTAACCAGTACTGGATATGGAGCCTGTGCTGCCTGTGCCTGGCATTCTCTGTGACCTTGTTCTCATCCTGAATGTCTCCTTGTGGATCTCAAAATTTCTGTGCTAAGCACTTGATCTTCAACCTTTAACTCTGAGAAATGTGTCCTTCAGCTTCAGGAAGCTCTCTCTCTGAGTCAGACGATAACTTGAGGGAGTTGGTTCTCTCCTAACAAACACTGTGTAGATTCCAGGCATCAAACTCAGGTTGTTAGGCTTGGCGGCAAGTGCTTTTACCCACTGAGCCATCTTCCTGGCCTTTTAGGGGGATATCCAGAACTCTTTCCATAGTCTCTTCCTTTTTTTATCCATCTTAACTTCTTTTGGTTATGGTTTTAATTTCTTTACCCAACTCTATTCTTCACTGGACCTTGACCCCAGGGTCTTATGTATGCTGCTCAGCCACCCTGCTGCTGAGCTACACTTTACTGTTTATTTCTAAGAGGGTTTCTTTTTAAAGGAGGCTTTAGCTGGACATGGTAGTGCATGCCTTTAATCCCAGCTCTTGGGAGGCAGGAGGAGCGCTATGAGACTGAGGCTAGCCTGGTCTACAAAGCAAGTTCCAGGCCAGGCAGGTCTGGAGACCCTATCTCAAAAAAAAAAAAAAAAAAAAAAAAAGGATATGTGGGTATGACCATGTGAGTTGAGGTATACATGGAGGCCAGAGGCATCAGATCTACTGAGCCAGAGTTAGAGCTGATTATGAGCTGCCTGGTATGGATGCTGGAACTGAACTCAGGTCTTCTACAAGAGCATTAAGCACTCTTAATCACTGAGCCATCTCTCCAGTACTGTTTTGGTTTTTTAATCTATATTTTCCCCATAAAATGCTGCTTTTATTTCCTGACAGCACTGGCCATGGAGTTTTCCAAATTATGGGTGTTTGTATAATGTGTTTCTTCATGTATGCTACAAACTTTCCTGTAGGATCTGGTGATCTTCACTGTTTTCATTTTCATATGCCAAAGAGGAGCTAAGGTACCCTGTGTGCATACACTGGGCCATGGCTTTGCCACAGTTGTAGGTAGGGCCAGCATTGTTCCTCTCAGGGACCATCTCTGATCATCTGTGTCTCCTGCAAGAGGCCAAGGAAGTGGCCAGAGTCTCAAGCCTGAACAGGGGTGGTCCCAGGGTCCCAGAGAGGGTAAGTGTGGGTGGATCCTTCCTTCCTTCTAGGTGTGACTTAACTGCAGCCTTCAGGGCCCTCATGTACCCAGCAAGGCACATGTACCAGCCTCAGCAAGGATGTGGTGTAGAAGCTTCCACACAATCTGACTATGTTGTCACTGAAGCCTAGATTTGCCTCAATATGCTGCAGGCTGTTTGGCTCCCACACTCTCTGCAAATGCTTTGGTCCTCGGTCCCCAGCACATTCTGGCTTTTTTCCCCAGGCTTCCCTGGAACAATTGCCACCTCTAGTGCACAATACCTCTGAACAATACTTCTATACCTTACAATTATGCTTATCTGTTCCCCTTTACCCTTAGAGCCAATGCTTTGGAAGAACAGCTGAAGGAACAGGAGCTGAGAGCCCAAGAGAGGGTCCTAGAGGAGACCCGGAAGCAGAAGGAGCTCCTGTGCAAGATGGAGCGTGAGAAGAGCATTGAGATTGAGAACCTGCAGACCAGGTGGGCAAAGCTCTGGAGCAGGCAAGAGAAACCCTGTCCACCTGGGGGTGCTGTACCTAGAGAGAAGCTTTATTATACAAAAAGGGGCACTCACATGGAAAGATCTTCAAAACTTTACTTTAAAATTTTTTTTAATTAGAAGTGTGTGTGTGTGTGTAGGTAGGTCAGAGGGCAACTTATAGAAATTGGTTCTCTCCTTCTACCATAAGAGTCCTGGGGAACTCAGGTCATTAGGCTTAGTAACAAGTGCCCTTACCTGCTAACCCTTCTCAATCCTCAACACTCTTCTAAAGGTTCTGAGACATGTCCAAGGAGACTTCCCTTGCATACCAGCTTCTCATGATTTTTTTCTTCCACATGCCTTATCAACACATCAGTCTTAGCTTGGTATGGTGGTATGGTGGTACATGCCTATAGTCTCAACTACTCAAGAAGCTAAGACATGAGGGTCACTTGAGTCCAAAAATTTAACATGAGTCTGGGCAACATATCAAGATCTCATCTTCCATCAAAAATTGAGGTTTTTTTTTTTAAGAGAATTTTTCCTTTTTTATTTTATGTGTATGAGTGTTACGCCTGCATATAGGTAAGTGCACCCATGTCGTGCAGTGCCCTCAGAAGATAGAAGAGGCTGTCGGATCCCCTGGGACTGGAGTTATGGACAGTTGTTAGCTGCCATGTGGGTGCTGGGATTCAAACCTGGGTCTTCTGCAAGAACAGTCAGTGTTCTTAACTGCTGACCCATCTCTCCAGCCTCCCAAGGGAATTTTTCATAATTACTTTTTTGTTTACTTAGAACTGACACTGTGGATATTTGGTATATTAACAGCCACACCCCAGGAAGAACTGATACACTGATGAGGCTGTGCTAAGGAGGCACTGAGGCCAACTGAAAGAGCTTCCTGTGGGGCTGGAGAAATGGCTCAGCCATTAAAAGCACTGGCTGCTCTTGCAGAGTACCTGGGTTCAGTTCCCAGCACCCACATGGCTGCTAACAACTGTTGTAACTGTAGTTCTAGGGGATCCAACACCCTCGTCTTACCTCCACGGGCAATAAATGACATGGGTGCACTTACATACATGCAGGCAATACACTTACACAGATTAAAAAATAAAAAGTAATAAAATATTTTTAAAAAGGGGAAAAAAGAAGAGGTTTCCATGAGCTGGATGTGGTAGTGGCAGCGATTCCACAGGAGCTCAGCCAGGATGTAAATGAGGTGGGCGGAAGTCCTCAGTGACACAGTCTGTTACAAGATAGAAGACAGAAGCCTTCTTCCTAGAGGAATGTGAAATGGTGTCTGCAAACACCGCTCCAGGAGCTGCTATGGGGTTCTCCTCCTGAGGTGTAAAAAGGGACCAGCAGGGACATATATCTAGAAGTTACACCTTAGCCAAGTGACCCAGGATGGTGGTAGGTGTCAGAGAGAGCGACAAGAAGGCCCTCACTGGGGGATTTGGGGGTCATGCCTAAACCCATCCTCCTAAGTCTAACCACCAAGAACCAGTCTGAGTCACATTTTGCAGAATATATGGCCAAGACTGTTAAGTACTGCCACAGTAGGGACAGTCTTGGAGACACACAGACCAGGGAACACAGGATGCAAGAACGGTGCTGTGGAGTCCTGGGCTTTCATGGACTGTGTACTTTGATTAATAGTGTAGCCCAGTGGGGTGTGGGTTGTGATGTGCTACAGTGGTGAGTAGAAACGACACAAAGGGAAGCAAAAACGGAAACTCAGAACTGGAGAAAGGGTGCAGGAGTTAAAAGCACTTGCTTTTCTTACAGAGGAGCCAGGTTCAGTTCCTAGCACACACATGGCAGATCACAACCAACTTTAATTCCTGTTCCAGGGGATCTGATGCCTCTTCTCACCTCTGTGAGCACCAGGCACACACATGATACGCATATATACTTGCAGGCAAACTCTCATACAAATAAAATTAAAATTTTGGGGATTTTTTTGTTTGTTTATTTGGTTGGTTTGGTTGGGTTTTTTTGTTTTTAAGACAGTCTTCTTGTAGCCCCAGCTGGCCTGGAACTTGTTATGTAGACCAGGCTGGCCTCCATCTTACAGAGGTGCTCCTTCTTCTGCCTCCCAAGTGCTGGGATTAAAGGCATGTGCCACCACTCCCTGCAAAATAAATATTTAAAAAATCAAACAAACAAAAAAACAGAGACTCTAGACTGTCAGCAGCTCTTCCTTAAACCTAAAATTATTATTATTATTATTATTTTTTTTTTTTGGTCTTTTTGAGACAGGGTCTCCCAGGGCCTCAGCTGGCCTGGAACTCACTATGTAGACCAGGTTGGCCTGGAACTCACAGAGATCCGCCTGCCTCTGCCTCCCAAGTGCTGAGACTACAGGCATGCACCACCACACCCAACTAAACCTAAGATTATTCTTAAACCCTATTTGCATTTAAAATTCACCATGGCCCAGTCATAGTAACACACACCTATACTCTCCAGCACTTGAAAGATAAAGGCTAGAGGATCAGGAATTCATGGTCGTCCTTGGCTACACAGGAAGTTTGAGGCCAGTAGACTGCCTGATACTCTCAGAAAACAGACAATACCCTGGCATAGTGGTGCACACCATTAATGCCAGCACTTCAGAGACAGAGGCAGGTGTGACTGAGGCCAGCCTGGTCCACATAGCAAGTTCCAGGCCAGCTGGGGCTACAGGGAGACCCTGTCTTAAAAAACAAACAAACCAAAACAAACAAAAAGCCAAAAAGCTATCATGGTCTATAGAAAAGCTTTGGCCTAGACCCACCTGGATGGAGTAAGGACTCATTGTAGGTGGGATTATCTGTGGGTCACAAAACAGCTCCCAGTGAGAGTCCCCCCCAGAGCTGGGCATCTCTTATCCTGGGGTGGGGGGCACATTTTAGAGGGAACAGTTGCAACCTGTGCTTGTATCCCAGGCTGCAGCAGCTGGATGAGGAGAACAGTGAGCTACGGTCCTGTACACCCTGTCTGAAGGCCAACATTGAACGCCTGGAGGAGGTGAGCTGCTGATCTAGGGCTTGCAAGGAAGGCCATGCCCTGCTATGGGCACCAAGGTTGACCCCCCAGCTCTGTTGAACAAAGATTGTCCTTTACCCTCTGTTTGTCAAATCAGCATGGGAGCCAGGACATACAGCCAGGGCCTTTAGAGCAGGAAAAGGCAGCTGGCAACAGTGGGCCCTGCTCTGCTTAGGTGTGAAGGACCCTTCTTTTCTGCTGTTGGACATTTGGCCCGCCTGACCTTTCAGCTCTCCCATAGACATGGAATCGACAGGCCCAGAGCCCATGCTGATACTGACCCATATCTGAGTCCAGAGGAACATGTTCTCTAGTGCCCTCTAATGGCCCTGGTCTGGCAGACCTACAAGTAGAGGGGGTACTCTTGGCTCCTGCCCTAGTCATTCACTGAGAGGGCACCCCTCTAGACACTTACTGAGTACCCTCTGGGAAGCTCTGAAATCAGAATATTCCAAGTCTACCTAGGCTCTGGTTCTTTTTTTAAAAATTTTTGTTTTTTGTTTTTTGGTCTTTTTGAGACAGGGTCTCCCTGTAGCCCTAGCTGGCCTGGATTCTCAGGCTGGCCTCAAACTCACAAAGATCCGCCTGCCTCTGCCTCCCAAGTGCTGGGATTAAAGACATGCGCTACCACGCCCGGCATTTGTTATTTTTATTTTATGTGTATGCGTGTATTGCCTGCATGTAGGTAAGTGCACCTGTGTCATGCAGTGCCCTTGGAAGTCAGAAGAGGCTGTCAGATCCCCTGGGACTCGAGTTACCGACAGTTGTTAGCTGCCATGTGGGTGCTGGGATTCGAATCCTGATCTTCTGCAAGAACAACCAGTGTTCTTAACCACTGAGCCATCTCTCCAGCTCTTGTTCTTATAAACCAGGGGGAGTCAGGCTTTAGGTGCCCACAGTTACTGGGCCAGATCCTGACCATACATAGATCCCTCAGCCACAAAGCAGGGCAGCTTTGACGGGAAACTTCAGGAACGATCCTACTAAGGACTGAGCATAGGAGCCGCTATTATGTTTGTCAGTGAACTGGGAGATTGGTGGTCTGGGGTACAGGCTACTGAGTCATCCATGCTGCATGCACAGGCAAGGAAATGCCACATGTCTACACAGTTCTCTGTGCAGGAAAAACAGAAGATGCTGGATGAAATTGAAGAGTTGTCACTGCGGCTCAATGAAGAGCAGGAGAATAAGAGGAAGATGGGGGACAAGCTAAGCCATGAGCGGCACCAATTCCAGAGGGACAAAGAAGCAACTCAGGAGGTGAGCAGAGCCATTTGTCCCCTCCCCATATTCCCATCTCATCTGGTGTACCCTGCTCTGTGGTGGAGTTCAGAAAATCCCTGTTTCCTGCCACTCTATGTCGGGACACTGAACTATGGTGACTTCTTGGAACATACAGGTCAGCATCCTCCCAGGAGAGGGTAGTCAGGCCAACTAGGAGATGGCCAACTAGCAGGAACACACCTTGTGTTTGCCTCACAGCTAATTGAGGACCTTCGCAAGCAGCTGGAGCATCTGCAGCTCCTTAGGCTGGAGGCGGAGCAACGACGGGGCCGTAGCAGCAGCCTGGGCTTGCAGGAGTACAATAGCCGTGCACGAGAAAGTGAGCTGGAACAGGAGGTCCGCAGGCTCAAGCAGGTGCTGCTCTGCCCACCTCTACCCACCCTAGCAGAAGTTCCTGGGAGACTGGCATGGGAGGGGGCACCAAGCCAGGATCTTCCCTGGCAGGTCCAGGTTCCAGCAGGGGCCACAGTCCAGTGTGACACTGCCATGTCTCCCAGGATAACCGAAACCTGAAGGAGCAAAACGATGAGCTGAATGGTCAGATCATCACCCTCAGCATCCAAGGTGCCAAGAGTCTCTTCTCCACCTCCTTCTCTGAGTCCCTGGCCGCAGAGATCAGTTCTGTCTCCCGAGATGAGGTAACTCTCCCCACCCTAGGTCTCTTCATCCTGTACCATCCCTTTCCTCTCCCCTCACTCACCCTTTGCTTTCCTGTAGCTCATGGAAGCAATCCAGAAGCAGGAGGAGATCAATTTCCGCCTGCAGGACTACATCGACAGGATCATTGTGGCCATCCTGGAGACCAACCCATCCATCCTAGAGGTCAAGTAGGGCAGCTCAGCCCAATATGGGCTGGTTATAGACTCCACCAGCACTCCAGAGTGGCCCTGTCTTGCCACAAAGAGCCAAGACCAGCAGGTTCCACGGTTTACCAAGCCCAGAGTGTATAGGGCCCTCATGCAGCTGGGATAGGAGACTAAAAATAGAAGCTGTAGAGGGCAGTAAAAAAGAAGGAAGGGAAGTCCACAGCAAGCAATGAGTGAGGCTCGGGTCTCTACGACCTTCAGAGAAGCAGAACTTCCAACTCCAAGTCAGCCCAACCAACAATACCTGTATCTGCTCAGCAGTGATAGTTTCTCAAGCCCATGTGCAGATATGTGGGGATAGTTTCTCAGGCTGAGATGAGCACCTCTGTGACTCTGTGACACATCCTTCTTCCTGCCATGCAGCCTGTTGGGAAGAGGGGGAGAAAATGAGTACACAATTGCTGCCACTCACTCATGCTGACATGGTGCCTCCCATGCCTGCCCATTCCCAAATGGTGTATAGGCCAAGGACCTGCAAGTTGGACAAGGCAGTGCCAGAAAGACAGGCAGGCAAAGCTGGCACATTTAGGGTCTGCTCCGGAGCCACAGGCCACCTGTTCTCTGAGCTGCTTAGGCCATCACCCAGCCAGATGGGCTTCCATTCAGCTTTGGACCTAGGGCCTCTAAGCCACACAGCTATCCTTATGGCCTGACAGTCGCTGTAGTAACTCTTTGGTTCTGGCCCTCCTGTGGAGGCTAGGACAGGAGCTCATCAAGGCCCTTTGTTCTGAACAAAGGGCCTGTGACATTGACTATTGAACTCACTTCCTGGACTGGTGGACACTATTACCCCAGGTGTAGGTGCTGCTCTCCTCAGATGTGGCCTACCCTGGCCCTTGGGCCCACACCCTCCTCAGGCTGATGTTACTGCCCTGGGTAAAGTACATTTCCCAGGCCAAAGTCTAGGCCTGGAACCAGGTTTCCTCTGCATCTCACTTTAAATTACTGGGTATCCCCCAGGATGCATTTTGCAGTTGGGTGGGTGGAATAGGCTCTGCACAGACCCAGAGGCAGAGGAGATCTGCTGCCACTTCTGTACCACCCACAGAGCTGCAGCATTTGCAGAGCTGCAGCACCCACAGACAATTGGGCCTGAGCCTGAGCACTGACCAGGAGTCTCTGGGCACATGTGGTCTGAGACCACACTACAGGCTGTCCACCCACTCCGTGTGTTCACGAGTGCATGAGTGTGCACATAAGTATGAGTATACATGTGCTTGTGCCCACACATGCTGCCCTGCATCCCTCTACTACCCACCCTCCCCCTGCCAACCTTCTACACTACAGTTTAGGATGTTGCCTCATATTGTACATTTTGGGGAAAGCCTTGAGTGTAAATCAATGTAAACTTGGAGGAGAGATTTTTCTACCCTCCCCCTGCCAACCTTCTACACTACAGTTTAGGATGTTGCCTCATATTGTACATTTTGGGGAAAGCCTTGAGTGTAAATCAATGTAAACTTGGAGGAGAGATTTTTCTATCATGTAGAATAGGTATTTTTTATAGATTGAAGGTTGATCAATTTTTTAATACTTTCCAGAGAGAAAAATATCTGTGTATACACATGAAATATATATATATATATATATATGTATAATATATCATTACTGGAGCCCTGCTTTCTGTGCCCAGGTCCCAACCCTGTGACAAGGGCTTGTGGCCAATTCCTGCTGTCTGCTCTGAAGTGCTCACTGTAAACATAGGTCTCCAGGAGACACTGGAAAACACACCAATCACCAACTTGCTCATGGCACCTGCTTCAGCTCCCTGAGAAGTGGCTATTCCTCCGTGACGTGGGAGGATGGGAAACCAGCAGGGTCCTGTCCAATGTGTCGGCCACCACAGATTAAAGCTGTTACTACACATAGAGGCCGGCTCCTTCCTCCACAGGGGTGGGCTTCAGGGTGGGGTGGGGGGCTGTGGGCCTAGTCCTTGTTTCTAGGGTTTCTAGGGATATCAGTCATTTGAGCTTAGACCATGGGAGACCCTCAGCTTTCTAGCTTGGTTAGGCCAGGCCCACCCTGAGGCCCTAGGATTGCTTCTCTATGATGGGCCATCTGTAGAGCTGAGCCACTTCCTGGCAGGGTCTGTATCTTAAAGTGGAGTAACTGCTGACAGCCATTCCTAAGGGCAAGGTCACAGTCACCTCCAGCTGTCCCTTACCTCTCTATCCTAATAGGACTTGGGCCCTAAATGCATCCCAGGAAGGCCGCAGTAAGTCTGAGTTGAGGTGGCCAGAGGGGGCAGTGTGGGTGTGGGTATCACAAGTCTCAGGAACAGTGCTTCTACCCCTGAGATGCACATTCTGTGTCCAGGAGAGGAGCAACTGTAATATAATCAGGGATGAAGTACACAAGGCCATAGAGACTGGTAAGAGGGAACATCTAGGAGGGGCCAGCACAGAGGATCCAAATATAAGGGCAGGGAGAAGGCAAAAGTCTGAGGACAAGTGTGGCTCAAAGGTCAGACTGAAGGGGCAAAGAGCTTCTAGAGTTGAAGTGGCACTCTCACTGACACCACTACAGAAGTTCCAAAAGGGTATCACTAGAGCAGCAAACTGTGTACCTGTTGCACTCCCAACCAGGTTCTGTCCATGGGCACCTGCTTAGCACTAGCCAGGCCCATCTGTGCCTTGGAGAAGCAAGTAAGGCATCTCTACCACAGCATGACAGCTCCTCAATTTAATTTCCACTCAAGTATAGTCCAGTCAGCCCCCCCATAGGGGATGCACAGTGCCCCTCTCAGGTCTCCAGACCCAGAAAGAGTCCCCATTTGGGATATAGTAAGAGAGGCACACATGCTAGAGATCCACTCTTAGCAGAAACATTCCAGAAAGGGGTGCCTGAGAACTTCTCGAAGGTGACCAGCAGTATGCCTAGAGGGATGTCACCAAGGGAGGTCAGCATACGCTAGCAAGCTCTTCACTGTACCTCTGATGGTGGTACAGGGAGGCTGGCCACAGGTCTTGCCAACTCTTAAGCTGCAGCAAGCAGAACTCCCTTAAGGCAGATTCTGTCTCTCAACGCCTCACATTACCGTGCTGTTGTTCATACCTCCCTAGTCTTTGGCAGTTCTACCTGAAAGAACAGCCTAAGTAAAGCTTGGCCTCAGCAAACCCAGAACAGTTGCCTAGATGTCTCTGGCCTCCTGAACCGTATGGCAGTTTGGAAACCTACAAGAGAAGCCCAGAGCAAGATAGGAATTTTTTCCAGGGACTGCATCATTTATTTAAGATAGGGTTTCACTGTGTAGCCCTGGCTGGCCTGGAACTTGCTATGTAGACCAGGCTGGCCTCAAACTCAACAGATCTGCCTGCCTCTGCTGAGTGCTGGGATTAAAGGTGTGCAGCCTTCATCTATTTACTTTTTACCTATGAGGTTGCTATTCTGACTCAGGCATATATGGTTCATGAAGTGGGTGATCAGAGAAACTTAAACCTGAGCTTTAGACCAGGCTGACTGGCCTAAACTTAGTAACTGACTCTAAGTTGCCCACACTGACCTTGAACTCATTTTGTAGCCCAAGCAGACTTTAAACTTCTGATCCTGACTCAATCTCTTGAGTAGGTCTGTGCAACCATACCCAGGTGAGTCTGTTTTCTTTATTGCTGTCTCTAAAACCTGGAGAAATGTTCGGTCCCATCAGCTCAATGAAGACTCAGGGTTGCTGGGCTGTTGTCTCTGCCTTTGAAAGGGGTCTCTCTGCCCTACCCCCGCTTGACCCCTGCAGGCTGTCCTATGATCTGTCCCTTCACTGGGGTAGTGTATTCTGACCCATACTGCATTAGCACAGAACAGGGCTCAGTCAACAACCTGGAATGATCCAGTTTTCTGTGTGGTCAGCTTGATGTGGTACTTCAGAACACTAAAAATGATCCATGGTGACCAGAGATGCTGCAAAGTCCTGTCCATCTTATCCAGTTCTCCAGCTCACACCTCAGGCATCAACCATCTCATCAGTTATCCAGTTGTCAGCCACTCTACTGGATGAATGAGCTATCTCGATACCCCATAACGACCCACCTTGCTTCTGCCTCCCCTTGCCTCTATATAAGGCCTGACTCAGCAAACAGGCATGAAGTTTACTGCTTAGCAGTAAGCAGGAACCTCAGCTTCTTCCTTGGTGTTACCAAAAGTGGGATGTTCTACATAAAGACACAAAGCATCCAGAATACTAGTGGTCTATCTTTTGCTTCATGGCTTTTCTGGATTATCAATGATTTCCCAGAAACATGACTATGTCCCAGTAGGCGCTACTGAGACAAGCTTTCTGGGCTTGGCACAAATGTCACCTAGCTTCTTATAAAAACCTAACCAGCCAGTGTCTTCTGAGTGCAGGGCACCTTGGGGATTTATGGTATCTCTTTGTTGCATGGGTTTTTACCCCACTAGCCTATTTTCTGGTCGGGGCATTTCCCAGGCTACACAGAACAGAGGACAAGCAGCCGGAATTAGGTGAGTGACCTCTGGGAGCCCAAAGGATCCTCAAGGGAAAGAACTTGAGGACTCTTGTGAACGGCGCTCAGAGGACCTGGGAGGATGTTCCAGTTGGATGGCAGGTTCACTCTTGAAAGATGAAAGACTGCTCAAGTGATACCTGGAGTGAGCACGTGCTCGGTCCCTGCTTCGCACTACTGGGCCCTGAAAGACCATGAAGAAAGAAGTCAAATATCGTTGAGGGGCCTGGGGGCGGTGGAGAGCAGCCAGGAGACCTCAGCCAGGCAGCCAGGTTGGGCTGGGCGGCTCTCTGCCCCAGGGCAGCTGACTACGGTCTCTGACCAGGCCCAACAGCGACCTAAATCCCTAACCTCTCCCTGGGACAGAAGTAACACCGCCGGCTGTGCAGACGTAGACGGAGCTTCGTGGCCCGCCCCGTCTCGCGTGTCCCTCGCGGGGCATTTTGGGAGCCGCAGTCCGTTCCTGGCCCGCCTTGCACTAAGCAGGCATGGGGGTGCCACCTATATCCGCGGCCTGGGTGTCTCCTGTAGAGTAGTAGGGAGAGATCTTAGGGAAGGAGGGTGGAAAGTCGGTACGTCCTGGGACTACAACTCCCGGCATGCCTTGAGCGGCGCTGCTTCATCCTATGGGAATCGTAGTCCCGGCGCGATTTCCAGCGCCGCGTGCGCCCGTGACGTGCCGTAGCCTCGGGCCCTGGCTGGGCGCCACGCTACGAAAGCGGCGTAAGGCGTACCGGGTCGGCCGGGCGGGACGGCGGGTGCTACGGAGGCGGCGTAAGGTTGCCGGGCCGAGACTGGCGCTTCTCGGCTGAAACACACTCAGCCGGCCCGGCATCGCGGACACCGGCGAAAGAGCCCTCGGTGCCCTCAGGTAGAAGTGGTGGGTCAGCAGACTGAGGGCCGGCGCCTGGGCCGCGCCCGCGTAGCTGAACCACGAGCGCTGAAGAGGCGCTGCCGGCTCGCTAAGGTGAGTTCCTCGTCAGGCGGGCGGCTGTCCGGCTCACGTCCCGCAGAGCTCGGCCTCGAGGCAGCGGCCGGGACCCAGGAGGTCCGGCCTCGGGGCAGCAGCTCTGGGTTCGCCCTGGGGGCAGAGACCTGGATTGTGGCGGGCCTGCGGGGGCATGGTCATGTGGGTCACTCCGGGCCAACCCCGAAGCCTCGGACGCAGGCGACCCTCAGCGCCTTCCTGTCCTTGAGTGCCCTCTCCTCCGGGGCTAAATGTTGTCCCTCAGCACGCGGGCGTAGGTTGCAGGGGCACCATCCTCAGTAACTGGTGGCTGCGAGGGTAGCGTGCGGATGGCGTCCAGCATGCCCTCCTGTCCCACACTTCCTTCTGCTTTTATGGGCCTGCCAGTAGGCCGGCGAAGTTACAGAGCGACTCCTTGGCACCCCCGGCTTTTGGTGGGTTTTTTTTTTTCTTTCTTTCTTTCTTTTGACGACTGAAAACGGGGTCCATCTGGGATCCCTGTTGTGTGGCCAGATGCCCTTTGCTGGGCTGGCTTTCAGTGATCCTTGAGTGTCTGTAGTTTGTGACAAGACCTCAAGTAACAGGACCCTGATATACCCAGGTCCCCAAACACCCAGTCCCAGAACCTGTGAGGGCCCCTGCAGCTCAGGAATGCATGCATCAGGGAGAACCTTCGCTCACTCACGGTGCTGTGGGGTCTATGCTCCAGTGGAGTTTTCTTCTGCCCCCCACCCAAAGTCTGCAGAAGTGTGAATCACAGGTGTGGAGTTTGCCCCAGAGGTTCTCCCTGCTTCCAGAATCTAGCGGTCAGAGACAGGCTCAGGACCACAACTCTATAGTGTGGGCCAATTGTGTCTTGCTGGACAGCAATTTGGTCTCTGTGGGGTTGTAGGTCCTGCTTTCTCCGAGGTCCTGCTCCAGAGAGAGGCACCCCTTTCTTTCCCTGGCATCTGAGAATTACTGGAGCTGTTTGAATGGCATACAGGCTAGTGATCTCAAGGAAAACAGATTTAAATCCTGGATCCATTTAAACCCAGATACTGTACAACTTTTAGGGGACTTAACTATCAAAACTTAAGTTGGCTATGGTGTCTGTAAGCAGGAAAAGCCATGCTCTGCCCCACATCTGTGCAGAAGACTCAGCTTCTCTTCTATAGGAAACTGTCTTTCCACGCCTGAGTTCAAGGTGTGCCCTGGTTCTGCTCATGCTTCTGTTGACTGAAGCTCCTCAACATCAGGCCCTCCCTGACTACCAAGCCCTTCTGGCCCCTATCATATTTTATCCAGCCTTGGGATAGCACTCTGGTAATCTCCATTTTACAAGTGAGGAAACTGAGGTTGTAGGACAGCAGTTACTAGCAGGGAAGGAGTAGAGGAAGCTCTAAGTCTCTGATTCACAGCCCCCCTTTTGGCCTCCTATCACCTCATCAGTAGCAGTTGAGAAGGGGTTTGGGGGTCTAAAAACATTCAATATGCATGCATTGATGAGCTGATCAGTGAAGAGCCTGAGGAAGGCAGATAGTCCTTAGACTAGCCCTGTGGTCCTTGGTATGATACCTGATACCACCTCTCACTGCATTGGATTTTGCTGAGGCTAAGAAGGCAAATGATAAATGGGATAAAGGAGCTCTTTGATACATATATAATAGAAACCCAGTATCGCTTGTGACTTGTCATATTGTTTGTCCTGGATTCAGCACTGCCTGGACTGGGAGGCTCAATGATGTGAAGCACAGCAGTGGCCTCAAAGCTCTGGGCTCAGGCCTGGAGGAAGACTGCCTGCCCCAGGCACCCCCCTGGGGGTGGGATGCCTGTCTACCTGGACTGTGCATCTCCTGACTACCCTGCCCTTCTGGCTCTTACCTCATACTGGTTATGTCACCTGACATAGAACATCCTGAAATGCATTGTGCTTCTATTTTAGAAACTAATGAACCCCCCAATTCCTCAAGCTACTTTGGTTGCAAGCTCTGCCATTTGGCTTGCGTCCTTCCCAATGTACCTTGGTTGTCTGCAACCATTTGACCACTGCCCTGGGTCAGTTGACTTCTGAAGTTGAGGAGAGCTCTTAGGGCAGTCCAGAAAGCCATCTCTGTAGTCTCTGGAAATATGACTAGTAGCCTGTGACCCTTATAAGTGTCACTGACAGGAGGCAGAGGAGGCTGTGGGTTGATGCTAGGCTTAGAGACCTGCTTAGCCACATGCTTGTCACTCTGGGTTATGGCATAGCTGGGGGGAAACATGACCAGTGGACTAGGGAGCATCTTGGTGTGCTCAACATAGTACTACCCAGACAGATCCTACTACTAATCAAACTGGTGCCAGGGCTGGTATATAGTAAGTCAGAGGTACCCTGTCACAGAGTGGAGACCCAGGAAAGACAGTATGGGACCCCCAGCATAAGCCATGAGGTATTAGGTAGTCTGGCTGTTCCTATATACTCTTCTTCACAAACTGTCATGTGGGAAGCCAATGATACAGCCATCCCTGCCACAAAAACTCACTGGACAGCAGGGCAGGCTTGCTCAAGTCTCCACCCCAGGAGACCAAGTGGGACACCTGCCTTGGCCTCAACCCTCTTGTACTGACAAATGCAGAGTCACAGCTCTCCTGCCCATACCCATACTCAGGTTCCCTGATGCTGCCATCCCTCCCTCCCTGGTGGCCACACTGAGAATGTGCCTGGACAGGGCTTTAGGATATCAGCAGGAAAACAAGCAGACAGCTGCTGTTTGGAAATGTCAGGGTGCAGCTGTGCCCACTGCAAATCATCAGGAAGAGAAGGCAGCAGAGCAGTCATCACTGCAGATGGAGTTCCTGTGCCTTCTTCCACTGTGCTTGAAAAGTTGCCCTTTGGATTTAAAGTCACTCAAGCAGGTTGAGCCTCTTGGACTTTCTGCCTCTTGCCCAATATTATTCCCTATCAATTTAATGGAAAAACAAAGCAAAAACCAGTGAGTTCTGTAGCTTTCTGGAGCCCCTGCCTTCCTGCAGGGAAAGCCCAGAGCTTAGTGGGAATAGAAGTGCTGAGAGACCTGCTGTGCAACACCTCACACTCCTGATTCCCGGCCTGCCTCTTGGGGCCCAGCAAAGAGCTTAAGTGCCACTATGATTCTTGTTCTGCTGATGGCAGGGCCACTAGGCCACCCAGGCCAGGACTGCTCCTGCTATCACTTAGCAGACAATCATGGAAGTGCCAAAGCAAGAGGATTTGCCTTGTTAAAATAGAATTCCACATGAAACAACATTGAACTTGTGAACTAAAAATTGAAATTCTATATTCATATTTTTCTGGCAATATCATTTTGAAAAACATAATTTCCTTTCTCGTGATGCATGATTAAGATGATGAGCAACTCTAGAGACACAGAGGGACCTGCAGTGTCCCATTTTCTTAGCTAGGAGGCAGCAAGGCCAGCATGTTGGTCTCTCCAGACATCACATGTCCTTTCCTGAGCCTATCAGGGCATGTCTCCTCTTGCTTCAGAAACCAAGTACTGAATCCCAGCCTCAAGCACTGCTAGTTTTATCTCAGTGGGATCAGTCTCATCTACTGTGAACAGGCCAAACAGTCAGAGGCCCAATTCTGTTTTGAGGCCCAGCTTCAATTCTTGACTTTTACCTATGAGCTGGTAACTGGAAGCTTGGATACCAGTGAGTACTTGACAAAAATGGAGAAATCTAGAACTCAAGGGTGAGAACTCAGGGCCTGTTTGACTGTGAGAAAGGTTGTTGCCTCAGACAAGGGCAGGGAAGAACTAGCAAATCCATCCTGCTCCTGGGTCTGCAATCTTCTCTGTATGTGGAACAGGTATAACTTTTTAAGGGAGAGGGACTCCCTGGGCATCATGTGCTCAGATGGGACAGTGAGTCTCTAAGTGGCTTTGGCCGTTGTACTGTAGAAGAGAGCAGGGCCTGGACCATATGGCCAGTCAGGACTGATTTGCAGGACTTTGACTTGTGCAGGTAAGCCCAGAGGCTGTGTTTGTCATTTCTGGGCCAGAATCCAAACTTTGATAGGAGGGATATATCATCTTGGTGAGTGCTACCATGGCCAGGCTGCTCAAAAGTTCCTTCCTAAGGCAGCAACCAAGGTGTGGGCACAGAGGCATCTTGTTATCTGTGTGGCCTCAGATGAGTTAGTTTCCAAGTGCTGTGGATTATTTGTGGGTTTGTTTTATGGAATAGCTGGGTTGGAGTGCTACGATGGAAAGAAGGAACTCGTCTCTCTGGTTCAAGTGCCCAGTGCCCCTCTGTGAACCCTGGTTCACAGCCCCTCGTCCTGCTGCTCTGCTCTGCTGGTCTGGTTCTCTGGCCTTCCAGGAACTTTTTTTGGGAAAGCTGTGTTCTTAGGGTCTGGGAGTCATGGTCCTGTCATTTGGGCCACATTGTGCCCTCCTGAATGTGCCATCTGAGATGTCTCCCCTAAGCTTTGCCAATGGCCCCCACATGGAACTCCCTTCTTGTCCTTAAGCTAAGGGGTATTTTGGTCAGAAAGAGAAAGCTCAGAGGATAGTTCATCCTGTGGAGGGTGTTCCACCTGTCTTCAGAAAATGCTGTTCAGCCAGTTCTCACAGAGATGAGTCCTCCCCTGGGGTGGATCCTGGCCTGGTTTCTTAGAGGAAGGATTCCTCAGGTCATTTTCTCTAGAGTAGCCTTGCCTGTCAGTTGTATCCGAGCCATCAGTTGCATCCCAAGGTTGCTTATTGGCCTCACATCTGGACCAGCTGCTTCCTGCTCTGGTGGGTGCAATTCTGAGCAGTAGTGGGTAACTGTGAGTGCCGAGTGGGTCTGGGACTGCTGTTGTTCTCTGCCATCTACTGTCTCATGTGGGGAGTGATATTGGGGTTATTGCAGTTACAATAGTAGTGGAATAGCCTTTTGTAAGATTAACCAAGATGAGGTACGTAGGTGGTAGGTAGTCTATCAACTGGTGTAGAGAACTCCATTCTACTTTGGCTTAATGGGAGTAGGGTACCATGCCCAGGGCACTCACAGGA